CAAGCCTACCATACCACCATGGCAGACAGCCCAGATTGGCCTATCCAAACCAAGGTCCTGCTGCATCACCATTCGAAGCAAAATTCGATAAATGCTATAAACAGACGCCGGCGGCACGTGTTTCAGGAATGAGCCCAAAGTCTGACCAACGGTCTCTCGAATTGGTGCGACAGATGTATCGGAGGCATAATCTGTGAATCTATCCAGCATGAGCACGCAACAGAGTCGGCAAGCCATGTCATCCAACCACTTTCTGTTAAACGCATCATTCTCGACTCTCGATTTCCCTCTTAGCCGCCCAGCTCCGGCACCGTGTACCCGTAGTATTTCTCGCAGGCCCAGTGCAGCACCATGGCGTGTCTCCCACTGCGCATCGAATATGTCGATCTTGAGAAACTCACAGAGGCGTTCGTACGGCCATTCCGACCCTTGAAGCTCGTCTTCTGTCTCGATTTCTGATTTAATGGTAACAATTGGCCCTTTAAACTCGGAGACGATCTTGGTATCCTCATTGACGTCGGTTGGTCGATCAAGACTGAAATAGTCTGTCTTTCCGCCCTTCTTCGTATCGGCATCTGGCATAGGTGTATCGTCCAGCCCCTCTAATCCTGCTGTAAAGGAACGGCGTATAGATAAGTCGCCAAATCCACTTTTCCCTTGGGCGGCCTTTTGTGCATCTCTCTTCCGTTTTCTCTTAAGAACATTTAGCTGTCGAGCGCTTAAACCAGACTCTTCGGCTGGTTGATTAGACCCAACACTAGCAATAGTATCCTGACGAGTTACACCATTAGTAGGGTTGGGATCCTGCAGCGTGAAAGGGCTGGCTGATTTTTCAGCCGTAATCGGAACTTCTTCATCTTCGAATCGTCTTCCCAGCAGCCCAAGCCGGCCCGTAAGCGTCTTCTTTTGATGCGCGAGCCGCGCTTGAGGGTCAAGACTTGCAAGTCCGTAATCCACATTGCCGGTTCTCAGTAATTCACGACCATATTTGAGTATAATCGAGACATCTAACGCCTCAGGTTTGAAGTATTCATCGGAGGATAACGGCGGCTCATCGTTTTCCTCCTTTTTCACCAAGTCGGGTTCACCGCCGACCTCTTCCTTCTTCGCTATGGTAGGATCCTCATCCTCATTAGGATCATAAAAGGGAGCGTTCTCGATAATTTTACCAAGAGCCTTGGCCGCAGTAGCTCGAGTGTCCCAGTCCTTGTGACGAAGGTAAGGTACAACTCTAGATAGTAGGTTGAAGAGTTCCTCGGGGTGTTGTTTTTGCCAATCAGCTAATTGGTTGACGGCAGTATCTTTAATTAACTTCGTACTGCCTGTCTCGAGGATTCTATAAAGAGTTAGTAATTAAATATATAAGGTAATGAATAGCAAAGCTTATTAATTCGACTGTTCCAGTTGACCTTTGGCCGCATAGGCGAGTTCATTAAAGTGTCAATAACAACGCGGATGGGAATATACTCGAGCTTCAATAGCAGCTACCCCCCTCGGTGGTTGGACGTAGGTAGGACGAACAACAAACAAATGATTACTTACGTGACGAGGCGGTCAAGCCTGTAATACGTTCTATGGGTCAGCTCGTGTTTCTTAACTCACGCTGTGAGAGGGTAGATAGGACTCACCTTGACGCCATTTTCATAAATCACGCCTAGGCTACAGTGCCAATACCTGGCAGAGATTCATTTCATAATAACGATCTGCAGGCGTTGATTAGCATTGAGTATCATCTGATAAATAGTAAAATATTTAACATTAGTATAGGGGAAAGTAATTGGGTGAGATGTTGAGATGTTGGATGTAGGATGCAGGACTTTGTGTCTTGAACATGCACATGTATTGTAAGTGTAAGTCGAGTATAAATAAGGAGACTATTGTGATTTTGAACTTGCTACCTGAGCAAGGTAGCCTAGGTCCAATACAACTTCTGTTGCATCTGCTGCATCTGCTGCATCTCTTGTTTCCTACGTGACTAAGCCTCAATAAGAGAGAGAGAAAAAAGTGTTCCTTTAGGAACATCGATTCGAAGCAAACACTTGTTCTTTCTTATTGGTCCAAAAGCGCTCTCGACGTCGACAGGAGCCGTAACTAAATCAAAGTCGCGGTCCCTTCCATATGCGATAATGGCGTGTATTGGGAAAGGATAGGGAAACGATCGGGATGAATAATAATAGACTAAAGTGCAATGAGAAATCCAATAAAAAAGAAGTATGTACAATAGTGAGGTATGCAAGGTTAATTGTGTAACAGTGGTGTGTAATCAAGAAGTGAGAATGAAAGAATATATGGGTCAAAATAGGAAAGGCACATACCCTGCAGGTAGTATCGCGATGCTAACGATCAGCGATGCGGCAGCTAATAAGTTCGTTCGTTGTAGTAAGATAGGCGAACTATGAAAGAAGTAGAAGAAAAAAAAATATGACCAAGCGGCATATATTAACTATAACCGGAAAATAACGCTGAAAAAAAGGCGCGTTGCAGAAAGTATTGCAGTCGTTGAAGTTTGACAACCGAAATAATTACCTTAGAGAGGCTCTAAAGATTCTCAAGCCATAAGGCGTAATGGGTGGATGTCAGAATATCACCTTTTGATAGTTGCTAATGTAGTGGCGCGTGCACGCCTTTGATTGACTTTGGCTGCTGGCTGCTTAGGTTGGGCGGATTAGGGTGGCCGGGGTCTGTTGTGCCTGTCAGAAAAATATGGCGGGATGTGCAGCAGCAAGTCGTCGCAGATGAGGGCACCGGCTTCCTTAATATTCCTGTATGTATGGATACTTTTATACACGTTTTGATCTGCCTTGGGGGCCCCTGCTGGTCTGAGCTCCAACCATAAGATAGCCACCTTTCCTAATTGAGAAGTCACTACCAGCTGTCAGCAGCTGAGTCGACTTGAGTCAAGCCTGATAGCCTTGAATAAGCTCAAGTCCACGCGTTGAACCTTTCACTTTGAAAGACATGTATTCCTATCAACGTTATTCTGTATTACAGCATTATGATCGCTACAAGTCACCTCGTTTTGTGAAGATCCCCTTTGGGATAATTTAGCTCTAGAATGCAGCATCACACAAAATACTAATCCGTGTTTCCAGTTGCGAAACCTTCTTAGAAAAGTAGAGGACATCATGCAAAAGCTGCTAGAAAGAGAAGTCGACTAAGATCTTCGGCCATGTTCTTCTCCTGTATCATGTACTTCGTAGTTCACCTGTCCAAGTGCGTGCTTTCTCGCTTAATTCCTTAGCTCAATCAACCTATTGCACTAGTGGCTAAAGCCGTAGGGGATCCACTCTTTTAAAAAAATTATGGTGGCTTGTTGGAATGACGAGTTTCTTGGCTTCTACAAACTCCTTCGTACCTACAAATATTGACTTCCAAATACGTGTCCATTTCTACGCTTTTAGGGAAATATTTAGAAGACGTAAATATTTAGACTAAAACTGACATATACCAAAAACTAATTATTGCGGCGATGGTTCTCCGTTTCACTTGCTTCTCTATGTTCATCATCGTCAACAGGCACACGTTTCTGCTTCATCTTAGACCCTAGCTGCCCTGCAGTCGGTATTGACAGGTTCGGTAGCCTACGGTTTCTGTGCCGCAAGCTTGGCGCGATCGACCAAATTGGCCGGGGGTTGCAACGGGGCGATCAAAACACCAATGTGGAAGTCAACTTGCATATTTTGGAGCTAATAAACCGCACATCACGATATCCATCTAACTAGCCCGACCTCTAATCTGAGAGTATAAGGCGATGACAACGCCGTACTCGCTCAAATTATGTATATACGCGGGTATGTGCGACTATAGTATATGCATGACGAACCTCATTCAAAGATTTCCTAGGTCGGAGTTTTTATAGCCTGTACCAATGAATGCGTGTTTCCGTACACAAGGCTTCTTAGATCTAAAAGGTAAGCATAGCCGGGCAGCCGGGACAAAGCGTTTGCCTACCAATACTCCACTACTTATGCTAGTACCTACCTATCACAATATACATAATCAGACTTCGAGTAATCTGGCCAGTCAAGAAAATGAAAAATCGCAGACGGAGATAAGATTGCGTTAAAATATCTCAAGGCACAATAAGGTGGCCTATATTCAAGTTCCGATGACAGCCGCTTGTGTTCCTTTTGGATTCTCAATATTGTACGGATTATGGTTTTCAGTTGTGTATATTGTTTCATTGTAGTTGGGAATATTAAGGATGGCCTAGTTCGATGTAGCAGTCATCCAGGGCCGAAACGTGCATAGACATTCTTTATGTATTTCATCCTAGAGACGTCGTCCACCTAGAACACCAGCAATTGGGAAACTTAATTAGGTACATACCTGGTAAAACAGCTGCAACTAAATGGGGTTTAAAGAGGTTCATAACTCAATAAGTTCATAGGGCTATTAACTTATATATACATTATACGTATACCTACACAGAATATTCCGTATCTAGTATCTAAATACCTAGGTACCTAGTTGAACAATCAGATGATCGAGATCAGAATAGAAAGAAAAGTCTAGGTTAAGACAAAGAAACGAGACCGGATCTCCGTATCTTCCATCCTTAAGCGTCTTTCTGCATCCCTGAAACATGTGACCGCAAAGCCACCGAAGCCACAGTCTACAATTTACTTCGTACCTGGTACCTAAATTAGGTATCTCCTAACATAATCGGATTAAGGAGCTAGCAAACTGGGCAGTCAGTTTATTACTAACCCACCTAAGCAAACGCTAATACACAAGCAAGCTAAACCAGTTACCTTCTTTAGCAGCTTAGAATGATCCCGCCTAGATTCACTCCCCCCACCCCCGAAATCACCGCGCTCGAAAACGCGTCGGCTGTACATTTTACGTGTCAGTTTCGAGGTTTAACGAACATTGACGAATATTCCCTAACCTATGTTATCGCAATATTCGCAAGCCTCTTTTTAAAGTTTAATTCTATCCTGCGACAATAATTCTGACATTAAATTCGAGCTGCCCGATCGGCAGCGCCTACCGCGACCATGTACATAAAACAGATCATCATACAAGGCTTTAAGAGGTGCGCGTTGAACAAATCATCATAGCCCCCCATGGGTTTTAGTTTTACCATACTAATGTCTATACCCTATATAGCTACAAGGACCAGACGGTCATGGAGCCCTTTTCGCCCGGTACGAATGTCATCGTAGGTCGCAATGGTTCTGGAAAGAGTAACTTTTTCGCCGCGATACGATTCGTCCTGAGTGACGCATACACCCAAATGAATCGCGAGGAACGCCAGGCGCTACTACACGAAGGCTCAGGCTCAGCAGTTATGTCTGCTTATGTCGAAGTTATCTTCGATAATAGTGATGACCGATTCCCGACCGGAAACAAGGAGGTTGTCCTACGCCGTACAATTGGTTTAAAGAAGGACGAGTACTCGGTCGATAAGAAAGTTTCTACCAAAGCAGATGTCGCAAATCTGCTCGAGGCTGCCGGATTTTCGAGGTCGAACCCCTACTATATCGTACCACAGGGACGTGTCACGGCCCTCACTAATATGAAAGAGTCGGACCGGTTGAATCTACTTAAGGAAGTTGCTGGAACTCAAGTCTACGAATCCCGCCGCGCAGAGTCGCTTAAGATCATGACGGAAACAAATAATAAAAGGGAGAAGATCGACGAACTACTAGATTATATTAAGGAACGTCTTAGCGAGCTAGAGGAAGAGAAGGAGGAGTTGCGTGATTACCAGGATAAGGATCGCGAGCGTAGGTGCTTAGAGTATGCGTATTATCACAAGGACCAGGTCGCTACGCAGGAGGCTCTAGAAGAATTAGAAGAATCGCGTCAGGGGGGCATTGAGGATACGGACGAGAACCGCGAAGCATATAACTCGGGTATGAGAGTCATCGCTACTCTAGACGCCGAGATACATAAGCTCCAGCAACAGATGGAGCTTCTTCGTATAGACCGTCGGCAGCTTGACGAAGACCGCCGAGAAAGTGCTAAGGCGATGGCGAACGCCGAGTTGGTCGTCAAAAGTTTATCGGACAGCATGTCAGCTCAAGACCAAGCCAGATCCCAACATGATGCAGAGCTAGACGAAGTGAAGACGACAATAGCGCAGAGGGAGACCGAACTAAAGAAGCTGACCCCTGATTTTGAGAAGGCAAAACGGAAGGAGGCAGAAATCAAGCAAGCTTTAGATTCGGCAGAAGCTGGACGGCAGCGCCTCTTTACGAAGCAGACCAGGGGAAGTCAATTTAAAAGCAAAGCAGAGCGGGACGCGTGGTTGCGAAAAGAAATAGATGAACTCAACGTAACACTGAGTCAGCAAAGGGCGAATCGTCTCGATGCTGATGAAGAAGTTAAGACTATTCAAGCTACTATTCAACAGCTCGAGAACGAGATTGCGGACCTACGACATAGAAACGAAGGATTTGGTGGTGATCGACTAGCTCTCGCCGAAGAAGTAACCAATGCGAAAGATGTCCTAGACAAGCTCAACGAAGAGCGAAAACTACTCCGTCGAGAAGACGACAAGTTGGAGACAATCATCGCAAACGCTCAAGGCGAGTTGGCTAATGCCGAACGGGAACTATCTCATACCATGGACCGCGCTACCTCTCGAGGTATAGCATACATACAACGAATGAAACGCGAGAATGACATCCCGGGTGCGTACGGTACGTTAGCTGAGCTCCTGGATGTTAACGAGGCGTACCGGTTGCCGGTAGAACAGGTCGCTGGTGCTAGTTTGTTTCACTACGTGGTCGATAACGACGACACTGCGACATATCTAGCCAGTACGCTTCAGAAAAACTTCGGAGGGAGAATCACATTCATGCCACTCTCCAGATTAAAGCCACGGATGCCGAACCTTCCAAGAGCTAACGATGCAGTTCCGTTGCTCAGCAAGATCAAGTACAGCGCCGAATATGAAAAAGCGTTTCAGCAAGTCTTCGGCAACACAATTATTTGTCCAAACCTCACAATTGCCAGCCAATACGCGCGAAGCCATGGTGTACATGGTGTTACTCCAGACGGAGATACCAGTAATAAGCGTGGTGCAATGACGGGTGGATATATCGATACGCGAAAATCGCGTTTAGAAGCCGTACGAGCCGTTAACAAGTGGAGGGAAGAATACGATCAGCTAAAGTCTAGGGCAAACGACATACAAAAGAGAATAGAGCAAAAGGACCAAGAGATCACCAACGCATTAGGCGAGGAGCGCAGACTAGCGCAGAGACTCCGACAAATGGAAGATGGCTATGGACCGCTGCGAGCAGAATTGAATTCAAAGAATAACCAGGTAGATCGTGAAAGAGATCGACTTGAAGCGGCAATCAAACGGCGGGATGTTGTCGAGAGGAACATGAAGCAGTTCCAAGATAACCTCAGCGCACATGAAGCCGAGCTGGCTTCGGACTTTAAGAAGGTCTTGACAGCTAACGAGGAGAAACAACTTGAGAGCCTCGGTGCCACCGTTCAAGAGTTACAAAAAGAGTGGAATGAGGTCAGCAATAAGCGGAGAGAGCTTGAAAGTCGCAAGCGAAAACTAGAGCTGGATCTGCGAACAAACCTCCAGCTCAAACTCGATCAGCTCACTAGTCAAGCGTTTGAGACTGCTTCCAGTGGTACTACTAACTTGAAAGAAGCCAAGCGGGAGCTCAAGAAAGCACAAACGACGACAGCTTCAGTTCAGAGCAAGATTAAGGTCAACGATCAACAGATTGAATCCGCCGAATCTGAGATTGCGAGCCTAGAAAAGCAAAAGGCTGAGAAGGAAGCACAACAACAGGAGATTGCGAGAGAGATTAAGAAGCAAGAGAAGAGGATGGACAAGAACAGGCAGATGAAGGCTTTGTTGACAACAAGGGCGACAGAGCTAGCCAAGAATATTCGAGACCTCGGTGTCTTGCCAGAAGAAGCCTTCGAGAAATACGAGAGGTTTGATCATAAGACCGTAAGCCTAACTCTTTGTAAAAAAATAAAAATAAAAAAAACACATTCATTCCTAGCTAACTCTGTATCATAGGTTGTCTCACGGTTAAAGAAGGTTAATGATGCCCTGAAGAAGTACAAGCATGTTAACAAGAAAGCTTTTGAGCAATACAACAGCTTTACCAACCAACAAGACCAGCTACTGAAGCGTCGCAAGGAACTTGACCAGTCACAGGCGTCAATCGAGGAGTTAGTTGCTCACCTCGATCAACGCAAGGATGAGGCGATCGAGCGAACATTCAAGCAAGTGTCCAAAGAATTTGCTACCATCTTCCAACGTCTAGTGCCTGCTGGCCATGGCCGTCTAGTGATTCAACGCAGAGCCGACCGACGAGTCGACCCGGAAGACTCTGATGAGGAACAGCGGAGTAGCGTAGAGAACTATACAGGCGTCGGAATCAGCGTCTCGTTCAACTCTAAGACCGCGGACGAGCAACAGCGCATCCAGCAGCTCTCAGGTGGTCAAAAGAGTCAGTTGCACAATCTTAACTATTTAAAATATTATCCTAGACTAACAAGTATAATAGGTCTCTGCGCTCTCTGTCTCATATTTGCCCTCCAACAGACAGAATCCAGCCCTATGGTCATCTTCGACGAGGTCGACGCCAATCTGGACGCGCAATACCGAACAGCTGTGGCTGGGCTCCTGCAGTCCATATCGGCCGAGGCGGGCACACAATTCATCTGCACGACGTTCCGACCGGAGATCGTACACGTGGCCGACAGGTGCTACGGCGTGCTATTCCGCAACAAGAACAGCACAATTAACTGCGTGAGTACGGAGCAGGCGCTCGACTTCGTCGAAGGCCAGGCACCGAGGTAAATCCGCGGCAAAACCACGAGTTACGCTAAGCCGAGGGGTGTGGTGCGGTTTGGTGCAGGTTTATGTGTATATGGTCTTGGGCGAAGGAGTTTACGTGAAGTCAAGTCATACTGCGTTGTATACCATGAGGGCATGCGAGAAGCTTGACGCTGTTATTTATTGCCGCTGTATGATGTAGCTTATGCTTTGAGGGATGCTAATGAAAATTATTTATTATTCATATTTAAGGGAAAGATATAAGTTATGAGGCCTCTTGATTTGACCACACTCCTAATCCTATCACATAAGCCAAGGGCCAACTTCACTACCTTATGAGGTAATAGGTCTTTTTGACAGGTATTCATTCCTTAAGTGCAAACAAGATAATCAGTAGGGTTGAGGTTGAAGGTGATTCTTAATCTAATAATCTTGATCTCATATAATATTGGTGTGGTGGTTGCCCTCGACCAGTCAACAGCCAGAATCCCAAACAAAGCCATGGCTACGACTCAATGCTGCCCATATGCTGATAGAAAATATACGTTCAAGGGTGGATCCAAGCATCTAAAGTAATCTAATAAGGAACTCGTTCCTATGAAGGACCATAAACATATTCCATTTTAAGACTAGACCATTGATACACTCACACGCTCTTTATCCAAGGTATTCTTGTTCTACACTATCGACCTCCTCAAAGGATGAGTTGGTTGCGGAGGGGGGGGGGCTCGATAGGAGATAAGCAGAGCAACTACCTCGATTAATTCGGTCATAGCTGATCTAGTCTAAAGCTTCTATTCTCATTAGAATGACAAGAGCCATGACCAAAAGCCTGATTGTGTAAAGGGTGGGAAATGGGAATTGCCTCATCTTCGAAGCTCGAGTCACTTAGGCCTTCGTGGCTTCAGACGAATCTAACCTCGCAAGGGCTGACGGCGACTATACTACCAACTACCGTAAAGCTTATTGAGACCACATCGATCCCAGTCTAAAAACATATGTCGTTAAAGGGCCTTGCTATAATATACACCTAAGATAGGCAGGCTAAGCTGACAACAGACATACAACCTAATCACAATTCCAACTTCACTACTTCAAAAAGCCACAGAGCCTAATGGTAATTTGACATTTCATTGTATTATCCGTGTACTAACACAATACTGTATAAACAAGCGAGTAACAGGAAACGCTATCTAGTAAACCATCTCAGACCGTAAGACCCAGGCCGTCTAACACACACATACACACACACACACATATATATATATATAACGTCGACGACCCCAACACGATAACGAAATGTTATACTATATAGCGCCCCCGTCTCATTTCTATTTCATCTCCAGCCACACAACACAGCCAGAGCAGCTTACCGAGAATCATCTCTGCTGTCGCCAAAACGCAACGCTATGCGAGTCTTCCGGCGCCAGGCCGTCGTCCTCGTCCTCAGGGTGGACATGACTTCTGACAGTTTCGCTATGTCTACGAGCGCGGCTATGACTATGACTATGACTGTGACTACGACTACGACTGTTGCCGGGGTCACGAGTATGGGTGCGATGGTGGCGATGGCTTCGATCGTGATTATGGCTTTGGCTACGACTAAGATGGCGGTCATTAGTTTGACCACGCTCATTGCTACGACTATGGCCACTATCGTGATCGTGGCCATCACCCTGGGGAGAAGGTAAGTCAGGCACCGAGCTTAAGAAGTGGCTCCGATGCGGCAGGACAGCCGTGTATCCCTGCGTATCCCCGTTCCCGGTAGTCCTGTTCCTCGGGCGGGTGGTCCTCGTAACCTCAGATTCGCCAGTCATAAATCTTCTCAATAAACTCCCTCCGTCCGCTCGTTGGTCGGAGGAATACACTGACGAGCTTGTGGATTGTCTAGGGTTTTGCGTCGAGCGGTGACCTAACGCGGTAGCAGGCCGACGGGTTGGCGAGCGGGTTCTTGAGGGACGGTCACCATCGTTATTGCGGTTGGTATTATTACGCCTATACTGCGAGGGAATCTCCGGCACGGGCGGTACGTCCCTCGGATTATCTACGGTATACACCGTGACGTCGGTCCAGACGCTGTCGGTAGCAGCAGCGTGGATTGCCGGCGCACTACGCGAGCGATACTTCCTTATATTGAGAGGAGAAGGGGCAGCTGACATATGACTGAAATCTCCTGGAGGCCGAAATGCAGGATGAGCCATAGATAAGACCGACTTGGTGTCGTCTGGCGTCAGATCAGATTTTGATACCTGAGAACTATACCACTGCGTTACCTTTAGCCTACTTCTTTCTTCCGCCTCAAAATCTCGGTCGAGGTCCGGGTGGTCTCCTAAGTCATTCATATCGTCCAGATCATCCGGGTCTTCGCAGTCATCCGATAAATCGTGCTCCTCGTTAATAGATGGCAGAGGATCACTTGCAATTGTCGGTTCCCCAAACTCTGAGTAGGGGCTTATACTGTCAGGCCTGTAGACACTTTTCACATTGTCTTTCAAGCTATGCATCGCAGCCCTCCTCTGATCTTCCGCGCCTTCTAGATCGGCTACAGCTACAGGAATCCCGTTCTTCGTCCTCCTCGTATAGTGCTTATTTTCTGCGACGTACCTCAACTCCGTTCCACCGCCGCTCGTCTTTCTTAATTCGGTATAAGCTGCATTGCTTTTACTAAGTTCTTTTCTCCGTTCAAGTCGCCACTCTTTAAGCTGAGAACGGACGCTCCTGAGCTCTTCGAGTACGCTGTCGCTCATAGCTATGCATTTCGCTGCCCTCTCCTCCGTGAGTAGATGGATCCATTCGTCGACATAACGTTTAAGTTTCGGTTCCCTAGCCCGCCGCTTGGCTGAACGTGATGGACGTGATGAACGCGATGAACGCGATGAGCGTGATGAACGTCTCTCGGCTCGGTCAATAAGGGTAGTCCGCAAGTCAGCAAGCACACGGGCATTAGCACCCATAGCACTTAGAATGCAAGCCTCGCAACCAGACTGAACAAAGATCATGTGGCTCTCAAAGGGTGGTGTTCCATAGCACTCGCGGTATAAGTCTGGATTTGTCCACAGGGCAGCAATAGAGTCTACTCGTCCGACGAAAGCAGCGAGAATTGGATGGCTGGCCTTGCCCTTCCATGAGCGTAGTACGTCCGTATGAACCGTTACCTCGTAAGCGACGGCTAAGAAAAAGCGACGGATAAGCCAGGGGTTGAGAACGGAATGCGTCTTACACAATATCGCCCTCGGATCTATTGCGTCTGGGTTCACCTTTTCCGTGATTTTCATGAAGAGACGCTTTAATAAGCCCGAATTATAAAGCAATTCATCCGGAAGATTTTTTATTTTCTCCTCCTGCCTATTCAGCCATCTCCTCGACGGAATAGCAATTCCATACTCGGGTCGTCGGGATAAGAGCTTTGTAAGGCGAGTAACGTTCTCGCTGGACGGGTGGTGAAGATCGATACTCATCCGTGCTGTGTATCTTTGTATTTATAATATCCTAAGTGATCTTAATATTACTGATTTCGTCTATTTGGTCTGATAGTTTAGATAACTTTCTGTAACTAGCAGGAATATAGTAAGTGAGGAACCAATAGTTGCTGTAAATTGGCCGCGGAGCGTTAATGCTATGTACTTCAGATTTTCGGGCATTGTTCCTAATCATATCGAAAACAGGCAACATCTACGTGAACTCTCGAGTAGTTGTGCAGCAGACCCATTAATCTACCATAAATAAACACTTTTTTGTTCCTTAGCTATTAAAAAGTCGGTGACTACTCGTTCGTAGAACAAAGACATTATTCTGGTCGCCGCTCGACTTGGATCGACACAATGCTCAAAGAAACTTATGACGCTGCCTTTAGCTTCCGTCAAAGGGTTAGGAACTTTGAGGCGAGTAGACTCACAGTAGTGCTATCCTGCCAAGCCATAAACAGCCAAAGTGACTTTGTCATTTCTCTTTCAAGTGCCTATGTTCGAGGCTCACGCTCCGAGATTCACGCCGCTAGGCTCACGTTCGGCGACAAAGCGGACATGCGGACATGCGGAAATACGGGAATATCGCGTCTTCCGCAGCATAATATGCTCCCTAGAGTTGGGTTCTATATTTGAGAAAACGTCCCAAAAGTCGTCCCGTCTACGGCGGCGTAGAGGTCATAGACTATTTTTTATGTAACGGATGCTCAATGCCATGAAAACTATTAGCACAAAATGCTGGCCAGAACGCCCTTAGCCCCCCAACCGTTGCCTAAGCAAAGGCACTTGCAAGCTGTAACTGCAATGTCTGTCTGTATGCTAGGCCTAAATCCACCCCAAATATACAGGTTCGCCTTGGTATCACTGCCGTATCATCGGAATATAGAGGAATCGTTATCCCATTACCATTAGCCCGCAGCCGGACCTCGAGCCGGGTGGTACTCGTGCTCCCTCATACGCTCTAACCTAATCTTCGCCGCCTCAGTACCATCATCTGGGATGGCTGGCTCTCGGAACCACTCGTGCTCAAGAGCTTGCCGAGCTGTGATTCGTTTCGCCGGGTCATAGACGAAAATCTTCTGCAGAAGATCCAAGAAGGATCTGAGAAATGGACTAGAGGCCGGTATGATATCCTAAATATATGTCAGCGACTGAGGTAGGAGGACAATGGGTTAGTAACTAAGCCTTACACTTAACCGTTTCATATTCTTCACGAAGCGCCTAGACGCTCGCGTAGTTTCTGCAGTAGGATAGTCCAATCTTAATCGCTTGAAATATCTGTCATCTAGATTAGTGAAACCGTACACAAACGAAGTGAAGACGGTAAACGTACTTTGATGCGGCGTTGCCCGTGCTTCGTGTAGCCATCTTATTGACAGCTTGTACGAGGTGACTGTCTATGCGACTATCACAAACATTCTCCATCATGGCCAAGTGCTCGAGATTATCGTGCGTCTGAAAGAGAGCATCGCCAGTAAAAAATTCCACCAATATACACCCAATGCTCCATATATCGCAGGGGAAAGACCACCCTAACCCAAGTATAATCTCGGGTGCGCGGTAGTGCCTGGTCGAAACAACAGATGAATGATACTCATCCTGGAACGTTGCGGATCCAAAATCGATGAGCCGAATCTCAGTGTCAAGGAGTACCTTGCGCTGAGTAGCTTGTCGGCTCACACCAGCTGACGAGGAAGGTATCCTACGATTGTAAGTGAACGTCTGATAGGCGCTATCACAGAGGAGGATATTCTCCGGCTTCAAATCAGTGTGGATGAGGTTTAGATCGTGGAGAACTGGGACCAATCAGTAAGAGTAAACGGTGTCGCGAAGGTATAATTGCTTACAAGCGACGCTTGTGAATAGTTGTCGAGCAAAGCTCTGAATCTGGCTGTTGGGGAAGGGAACAAAGTTATTGCTTTTGAGGAAGTCGAATACACTCGAGCCAAGTAGGTCCATTACTATACAGATGTGCCCCCGGTAGTCGAAACAGTCTCGAAGGTGAATACATCGGTTTCGATTCTCCTCGTCGTTGGCCTTCAAGGTTTGAAGTACACGTAGCTCAATTCTGGAAGCGTCCCGATATTTCTGTACAGCTCGGATGATTTTGATTGCAACCAGCTTGTTTCGTCTCCGGTCGCGAGCCTGAACAACTTTGCCGAAAGTACCTTGCCCTAACAGTTTTACCATTTGATCTGATAATATATTAGATGAGTAACGAGATAGGGATGAAGAACTAGGAACTAGGAACGTACATTGTGATGTGAGGTCAGCATCTGGGACAACAATGTAATGACCGTCATCGTCGTCGACTCTAGTACCGCTTTGGTGCGAACGCTAAAACATGAAAGTTAATAATCAGTACGCACAGATGCAAAGATGGGACCACTTACATCATTAACGACCCTAACAGTCACATCACCAGCTTTCTTGACAGGCTTCTGAGGAGGGCGGTATGTGACGAAAGCATCACCGAGAACTTCGACTTCCCTTCTCTTCGCTTCTTGGGCAATCTGTTGCCTAGTCCTCTTCCTCTTCTGACCAGTATTATGAGTCTCGTAGTCATATTGACTATTCGAGGACAAAGACCCGAGCGAGGTAGCAGCTGTAGTGTTATGGGCCGACGTCGTGCGATCGGTGGAAGTAGAACCACTAGTAGAGGTTTGTTGGTAAGAACCATTTACACTTGGTTCGTACAAGTCATCATTTTGAATAACATCGTCCTTTCTTCGTCTCTTGGCTGTATGACGGGGGGTAGCGTTATTCCCAACACCATTCGCGTATGTTCGTGCCACAGTAGCGACCGAATATTTCTGTTCCTCCGGCTCGGGGGTGTCATGTATGACAATAACTTCTTTAGGCAAGCCGTTTTTATAGAAACTCTTCCAATCCGGTTCCTTGGAACGACGACGTTTTCTCGGTTGGCTGTCGGGGAAGGACTGGGCTACGGAGGCGGCGGAGGCGACCGAGGGAGGCATATTGGCGTGATTTGAATCTAGTCGAGGAGTAGAATTGGTTCTCGAAGAATCTTTGGTTGGTCTCGCAGTGGCTTTTGATGCAGTTACTCCATTTGTAGAGGGTTGAATTGTTTGACTCGTGGCGTAGGATGTACTAGTAGTATACGAAGATGACGAAGAAGCAGCGTGGTGTCGATTAGAGACGGTCGCTGTCGAGGCAGTCGAAGCCGGGGTGGGGAGGATAGGGTTTGCAGAAGTAGCACCAGCAACTGATCTATATGAAGAACTACCGCCCTGTAAATTTGGATAGGGCGGATAGTGATGAGTTGAGTGATGATGATGACGATAATGAGGAGGAAGTGTAGCCGTTGCAGTAGTCGGCGTTGACATTTTATTCAAAATGTCAATAAATTATGAGGGAGGAGGTGAAAGATCCCGTGGAGAGAGAGTTCTAGGATTGGGATGGTTGGGAATTGTTTCGTGTGCACTTTCCAAGAGAGGTACAACACGTACCGGGGGGCCAGTGCAGGTTACTTTTTTTTCTTTTCTCACTGATGTCGCGCTGTTTCGTGGCTGTTCGGGGCTAATTGCGCTGCCGTTAAGGGTTCTTTAGGTTAAAAGGCACTTGTTCGTCGCTGTAGATTAGGCGACGTTGGGCCTAGGATTTAAATCCCTACCCGAAAAAAAGAGTGCGGGCGCTCTTGATAGCGACCAGTAATAGTAGGCCAGTGGCCAGTAGTAGACCAGTTTAATCGCGAAGGGAATAGCAACCGGCAACCGCTGCGACCAAATTCCAAGGTTCGTAGGCTGGTAGGCTGAGTTGGCAGCACCAATAGGCGATTAGGTACCTTCGTTTAGGTACCTAAGTTGCTAAACAACTTGCTACCTACGGGCAGAGTGGGTACAAACTGAATAAATCCGAATATGGTGATAGGTGATACTGTGATGTTAGAGGTAGGCCAGAACTTGCAATTCTAAAGCGAACAATTAATTATGAATAGGTTATTTTCCCAGTGATCTTTATTTTTCCTTTTCTTTTATTTCCTCCTCAGTTGTTCGGTTTTTTTTTTATCTGTAGCATAAGAGGGTTCGAAGGTCGGGACTTCGGTAACCGAGGATAATATAGTTGATCGTAAATTGTAAAGTTGGAGTGCAAAGCTTTGTAAGAGGACTTCTGTCGTCGTCTCGTCTCGTCTCGTCTCGTTTGCTGTCAATGTGTAAATTTATACACGTGATCAATGCCTTTATATTATTAAAGCAGTTTAAAGATGATTGTTCGATCGAGTATTATGGACGGTTTGGCTCTCGAAGGTGAAAGGACAAGACCTGCCTGTGACGAAGGTACTCGCTACAGTTGGTTGAAATAGGGCATAGTCTTCGTGTTGACGACAGCATTAAGAACGATGGCCGAAAATGTATACTTGTCTACCTCTAGGAGACAAGAATAAGCAATAGCACTCTTGGTGCTTCGAAGCAATTCAAAGCAAAAAGAAAGGAAGAGAGGAATCTAGTCTCGAATGTGAATTGTGAATGTGAACGAAGTCTTGCGTTGCCGCAATGCAGGATGAGGTGTTGGTAATGATTTACTTCGTGGGTTCTCTCATAACGCATCAGGCTGTGTGATACAGCAGATACAGGGCAAAGACAGGCAAAATACAGGCATGTAGTTGACAGATGCACATACAAATAGAATATGTACATGGGGATACATACTAGGTTAGGTATGTAAGTTAAGAAGTTACATGGCGGATTCACGGATTTACGGGTTCTACCTCTTGTTTCGGACTTCGCCCACGCTGTTTGGCTGTATGGTGAAAATGAAGTAATCGGTGGGTCTTTTTCATCTGCTAATTCGCCCCAGGAATTACTTATTACCACGCTATCATTACAACTTAAACCCATAGCGTCGATAGATGATATTAAGAGGTACCTTTTATCTAATTCAAGTACTTCCATGTGTGACATGTAAAATCTACTACATGTAGGTAGGTACCATTTTTTATAGTTGGTACCAAAAATACCCCAATAATAATAGATTAATAAACCCTCCCCGCACGGTATGGGGGAGGAGCCAAAGATTGATTTTTCTTAGATCCTAAAGGCAACAACCGTGGAGTTTCTACAGTATATATTTTATAACTTTTACTGTCTTCATCTTCCCATCGCCTCCGACGACCAAGCCAACTTACTTAAGAGGGTACTAACCTACATGGTTAAAAACAACATTATCTCACATTCAAGGATATATACATATCTAATGTACCTAAACATTGAAATCAGGTATCAGGTATCAAGTGTCATGGGCAACGGATATTAGGTATCTCCAGGGTATTTTCTATCGCTGATTTCTTTCCCGTCAATACGGCAACCTTTTACTTAGGTACTTACCACATATGGACGTACGACAATGATAGCCAGCCATATAGATACATATATCATCATATATCAGATGTAAGTAATTACATACATCCCTTTAATAAATTTATATTTTCCCATGAGGAAATAGTTGATCTTGTCGAGTTTTTTCTTAATTCGTTTCGCTCGTATCCCGATTTCTTCTCTTCCCTTTTAAAGTAGACCCTTTCCTACACAGGAAGTGATTGCGTTGGATTGGCTGGTCAGTGGAACCCCTTCGGGAATACTACCTCATTACCTTAGATACCTTAGATACCTTCTACACTAAAATTCCATCGGGTCCATTCAAAAAGGACCCTTAAACCTTTCTGCCAGCAGTAAACGAACATCGTCAACCACACCCCGAGGCGCAGGCGGCAAATATCGCCACATACTATTGGTACTAGATATCTGGTTCGCCCAAGTTTGTCTGCTTCTTTAGCGTCGCCTATGCATCTCTTGCATCTCTTGCAGCATTAGCTTTTTCCCCTCACCTCAGTACAACACAACTAGTATCACGATTTTACTTGCAGCCTTATCGATTTCAATGGGTCCGGTTCGGTCTTTGCTTCTTAGCTGATGACTACTTGAAGGAACAAGTCCCCGTTCTGCCCGTCCCAAGCCGTCCGTAATAAGTAAGCAGAGAGGTTTTTTTTTTCTTTCTTTCTTTCTTTTTTCCTTGCCTTGCCTGCGTGGCATCCCATGATTCTTGAGCATAAATCACAGTCTAGGATTATTCGGCCCATGGCTGTTTTTGAACGACGCGAGTCTTCCAATTATCAGCCGGCAACTTAAGACGTGCGCATTTGGCTTGATGATGGACCAGTTCTTTATAATATTGTCTAGTTACCTAGTTACTACCTATGTAAGTGGAAGGTATCTTATAACAATGCCTAACAATACCTACCTACATTTAATAAGCCCAATTTTGCTATTTTATCAGCACCTTGCATCACAAGTCTTTTCCCACGGACGTTTTCTTTAGTAGGAAATATCATTCGTCCACCGGCTTGGACCTCATCCCTTCCCTGTTACCACGCTGTAAATCCAAGGGAGTCGGGACAACGGGCCAACGTTTTCATCTGACGAGAAACTAAATTAAAATGAACCCACTGCTTGCCTAGGTAGGTAGCTTACACCAAGGTGTACACAGACAATCGTCAATTACATTTACATTTACATTTACATTCACATTCCAAAGAAACGTTCAATCCCGACTTGTTTTCAGCTCCAAAACCTAACTTTGTGTAAAAATGTCAAAGCCTTTTTGATCGACAATTTTGAGTTATCACTACAAAAAGAACTTCGAAGATGAAGACAACCTCAAATAAATAAGGTCGTCCGGTTTCGAGACTATAAGTAGGTACCTTGTAATATCATGACTCGCAAAGTCTAGTTTATATTTAAGTGGTTTGAGGAATTATTACGTTGCCCTACACCTTTTTGATGTCCAATTCTTACGCATTCCTCTGCGCAGTTAAATATGCCCACGTCCTAATGAAGTCATCCGCTTCCCGACAAAAAGTCGTCCGCTTCTTACATCACGGGGTTATTTCGCGCCTTTCCCCCATGTAAGTGGTCCCTTTGGCCCAGTATTAAGGCGGTTACCATGTATTAAGATATTATTTTCGAACAAGTGTTCAATGTCGTACCTTTAATAATATATGTAATATTCGCACCTGGGGAAAAGTTTTATGTAGGTATATATACAATTCCCAGACCGGGCCCTAGACCGAGCCAACTTCTAAATAATCCTCCAGCGGACATTGGCCAGATAAATAGGCCTATAAAAAGGCACCCAGTTTTGCATATGCGTTTCGTCATCATCAGAATAGGCAGGCTTTTTAACCGCACGCCGAGCAACCCGAATAGATATACATTTAGTAATACAATTATGTCTCACATCTCAAAAGCGAGGCGTATTTTTACCATAGTAACAAAAATGATTATCGAGACTTATTTGGTGTACTATGTAGTGGCAGCAGTGCCACTCGTCAGCCCTTGTTAATCCTTCATGAGGCTCCATTGAAGACTTCGTATTTTTCTTTTTATGCGCAATAAATAGGATACTATTCCCTACAAATAACAAACCCTCAATCATTATCTCCGCAATCTATACTACGGTCCTTTGTCTTCCTCACTATGTATTCATTTATAAAGCCAGAATATCTAACGTAAGGTAATACACAGCTGCGTCGCGCTCAGACCGCCAGATCTTAGAAAGGATCTCTAGCTCGCCCCTGTAGCAAGCAAGCACTCCTCGTGGAATGGAAGGATACGTATTTAGATTCATATTATTAGGCAACATGTAAGAGAACAGCCCCCCCAGGGTTCGACAGCGCATGCCTGCCCCTCCTAAACCCTGCCGGCTACGGACAACCTGGAAGTATTGCCGAACTCGTCACATGTACCCCAGGCACGCGTCAAGAAGCACGCCAAGATGGTTTGACGATCGAAGCTGAGACTCGGAAACCAATTTCCTTCTCACATCCTGAAGGAGGCAATTGCTCCAGGCTATTTAATAAGAGGGTTTAATAACTGTTTCTATTTCATGTCCCTCTTATCTCCGCGTCTAGTGACGCTGATAGAGCTACCATGCGGCGTCTCATCTATGACGAAGTATAGTGTCTTATAGGTAGGTTAGGTACTATGTCATGGCATCAAACTATGTGATACTTGTTTGACGTTTTCTTCTCCCCTCAAACTAAATCATCAAGGCCGTGTTAAGTAGTAAACATAATCCCCTTCGACTTGTTTCGCTCTAGAAACGCCTAACGTGATTAACTAACGCCGCTGAATAATGACCCATTCCGTCTAGATTCCACGATTGAACACGACCATCCCCCCATCTCCTCCACGGCCATGAAACTCATCCTCTAAGCTCTCTGCGCTAATCTTCTGGCGCTGCGGGAATGCTGCCAATGCAAACGGTAGCGCGAGGAAACTCATACCGAGGATCAAACCGAGGTTGATGGGTAGTGTGTAGCGAGGGTTCTTCTTGAGCCACTCGGTGCGCTGAAGGCGCACAAGGATCAGCGGCGGGACGACCATGATGGGGCTACTATTGAAGACGCGGCTGAGCGCCGTCTCGCTGACCGCCAGCGTCGCCGCCTTCTTGCTCTTGCCCAGGCTCGGCACGTCGTTTTCGGCTTTGCCCTCCTTCGCCAGCCGCGCCTTGTCTGCCTCCGAGAGCACGGGGAACACGTCAATTCCCGTGCGCATCTCCTCGCCGCGCATAAGGAACACGTTTAGCGCACCGGCGGACGCTACGGCCGCAAAGGGGACGAGCCGCCCGAGAATGAGCTTCGTCGACGGCGAAAATCCCTTCAGACGAGGGATAATCGAATTCAGACCTACTGCCACGGAACAAGATGCGCCGACGGCAAGGAAGTACGATTGGGCGATTTTCGAGTAGGAAAGGGGGTTTGATTTGTTCGCGTTCGCGTGGTTGATGGCAACATTGAGAGACTGATTAGTGATTTGCCAGAGGACAGTCCCGGTGTTCTATTATTGCATTTCAGGTAAGTATCTCTTCAAGCTGCTTCTGCTCAGGTCGTAGTATAGGAAGGTACACATACCTTTAAACCCGGCGTAAGCATTCCAGCTGTAACGATCAAATTCGAGAACACGAAGCAAGACATCCGAAAGGGGAGGAGGACTGGTTCTCCGGTTTCTAGGGAGCTCGATTAACCCAGCAGTTCGAAACTACGGAATACGTCAAGTTCACCATGCTATCATACCAGGATGTAGTGTAGAATCGACGATCTTCTTCGCCTTCCATAATTCCGGCGTCATATCTTTGATCTCGCCTTGCTTATATGCGACCAACAACTTTTTGGCTTGTTCAAGACCATGGTTTCCAACGAAAAGGGTTCTATAACGAACGGGTTCACATTAGAGGAATAGTCACTAGTAAAGGATCGGAAGCTAGTAATACCTTGGATCTGTAATGGTCGCCGTCTGTTTGACACGACCCCAATACGTTGTTAAGTCATATTGCGATTCGGGCAGCTCCCGACTGCCAGGCAAAGAAGCCGACATAGTGAAAGTCGCGATTTATGCAATTTCTTCAACAACTGCCAAAGTTGAAAGGAGTGGACAGCTGGTCCTACAAGTCTAGCCGACGTAAGAAGGCTGCCGGCATAAACAGGTAGTACCCGCCAACGGAATGTATGCGAGGAACGGGAGTGGGAGTTGGAGTAGAAGCACTTATCCTCCGTTATTGTTTGTATTCTTTGTATTCTTTGTAAGTCGGCCCCGGCTATGAAAGCCTTAGCTCACGGTACGGTGGACTATTATGACATTAGTGCCAAAATCAAGAAAATGGGTGGCACTATGTCTAATAAGGTAATAGTAGAGCAAAAATACAGTGTAAGCTCAATTAATATGCGCTGTATACACAATTAACACCCCTTTTAACCTTATACCATAATAACTTTATGAATATCTATCCGAATATTTTTCAAAAACTGTCAATATTTTGATTGAAAAAGGACAAAAATTACTGTCCAGGTTGCATGCGATTTGGCCCAAAATTCGTAAAGATATTAAGACAGCTATATACATGTAGTCTTTCCTATTCTAAAAGATTAGCCAATCAGATATCGCCTTTACCTTAGCCTCAAAATACCCGAATTCAATAACAACACTTACACGTATTCAATACTCGAATAACTTTACCAATATACCATTTCAAAAAGTATAATTAGTATCATTTTATAGCCTTTATTAATGCGAAAATAATCATGCAAGTTGCATATATATATCTTTTGGCTGGCGTATTGTATAGCGTATTATATCAATATCCAATAAGTCATATACGGCACGTGATACCCTTTATGACCACCCGTACACATAATAGCCCTCCTTTTATACTACACATTATCTTTACGAAATAAATCAGCAATATTATGAGACTATTTTAATATTTTTCATTATACTTCAAATGAAATATTAATATTTTATATCAATTTATGCCAGTAATATTCGAAAAGTTACTATAAATATAAAAATTATGTATTCAATTTTGTATATACCCCGCATAGTACACTGTGCACTCGATATATTACCCTTTTTGGACAGCCCTGACCTATTTTCTTGATTTTGGCACTAATGTCATAATAGTCCACCGTACACGGCTTCAACCGGCATTCTTTACAGGAAGGCATGAACCCTCACAAAGCAATTTTTTAGTGGGCCGATCTCGGACATCGTACTTTTTCAAGTACCTAATCTACCTACCTTTAAGTACCTAACATATGTAGTGTACAGATAGCAGGGCAACGCGGGGCACAAAACGAGATATAGAGAAATGAATACCTATATGACTCTTAAATAATGAGAAAACATAATAATATATTCAATCGAATAATATTATATACTACCTAGGTAGGTAAAAATATAAAATAAAGTAATAAATTTTGCAATTATATTCCAAGACCAAAGGTAAGAAAAATACAAAAAAAATCAAATCCCAGAGTGGACTCTGGGTTGAAGAGATGGCTTGAAAATTCGAGCACAGCAGGGATCGAACCTGCAATCTTCAGAGGTCGTCGTAGAACCGAAATCTGACGCCTTACCATTAGGCCATGCGCCCCGTTGAAGACCGAGCAAGAAAAATAGCTTTATATTCCAAGTGGTATTCTACAGAAAATTCATCCAATCATCCAATCATCTCACGAGCATACACTATGTACCTATGTATGTGGAGACCCACTTGGTGTTAACAGGTAATAAATTCAATAACTTCCTAGGAAGTCGAGGAGCAACATTATTACATAAGATTTCAGTCTTTTACAACATTACGTTTGATCTTCCTAGGTACTGCCTGTTTCTCACCAAACCATATAATACGAAATGAGCATCAATGCTTAATACCCGAGACCATATCTCCAATAAAGGCATACATTAAGTATGATGAATGTTAACTAGTTATCTAAAAATCATGCTTTTAAATATCCCATTATTCGCTATAAGCCATCCGTGCTAGGTAATAATACTCTAAGCATCATCCCCTAGTTACAGCTTCTTCGACTGTTTCCAGTCGTCAAAGTCTCTAAGCCACTTCTTCACCGTCTTAATCTCCCACTTGTGCGCCTCTCGGATGAACTGCGGCTCGGCTTCCACATCTAGGATGCCGTACGAGTCCCAATGGTGACCCGCCCCAGTGATGAGTAGCTCCGGGTGTAGGTCGGACGACGTACGCGCGGGCGCAAAGTTAGAGTGGTAGCACAGGTCGTTCCACACGTCCTGGTCCCCGTCGATGAATGCTAGTCGGTCGGCTGTGAAGTTAAATGCGCCGAAGTCGTTGTACGCACCCACGTCCGGAGTGGAGGGGATTGAGTTGTATTTCCCCGGAGCAAATGCCCAGCGGCACCATTGTTGCTCGTAGTCGATATCTATCACTCGAGACAATAAAGCCGGTCCCTCTTTTGGTGCCGCGATATATGCACCCTTGGTTTATTAGTTTCTGGTTCGTGCTTAGGAATCAATTAGTATATAGCGGTGTCCTTACCTGTTCTATACAGCTTGTGTAAAGATACGAGCGTGTAGCTGTATTTTCTATACTAGCCCATGCTGACGCATTTTGAGTTCCCTATAGCGAGAATTAGTCACGAGTGAGTTGATATTATGGGCAGCTACTATGCAAGAGGGGACGGAATGGTTACTCACCCAGCAATCGTTGCTATTATAGTCTCCCGAAGGACATAGTGAGAGGGTATGCCGCTTCACGTAATTGGCATAATTACCAAGACCGCTATGAGGAGGGGAAAAGTATTAGCCACTGACACCATGTGCGGGAAATAAAGGTATGGGTTTTCCAATTCTGAAATGGAACAGAGTGGATAATTCGATAGAAATTGACATGTAGGGAGTCTTACGTCCAGGGTTCACCATCGGTGTAGTTCGCCAACACATCGTCCAGTTGACTGATCTCTTCCGGGGCATCGATATCAGAAACATTGCCGCAGAAGTAGAAAAAGTCCCTCGATCCGTAAGTGGAATTCCAATTCAGCTCTTGCCACGTGTTTGAGTGGTAGAATCCGGGATTTCCTATAGGGTCCTATATATGAGTTAGTAGCTAGTCAAAGTAGGGGATGAAAGTCCCATGCCTAAGGCTGGGTTGTTTTGGCTACGAGGTAAAAGAAGGGAACTCACTGCAATAGCTGATGCAAAGTCTCGGTGGTCCGTTAGAGATTCGAGACCGAAGAGAGCCTTGAACTGCTCGATTGCCTTGGTATGGTTCTTGGCCACAAGGAAGTCAAACTTGTCCACGATCTTATTAATTCGCGTGACACAATCCTGAGGAGCGTATTTCTGGATAGGGTTATACCATTCAGGATAGCCCACATTCACCTTAATCGGAGCTGAAGCGGCAATTCCGCCGTAGAGGATGTCTCCGTACACCTTAATCGATGCAGCCGTCTGCGCTCCTGCCAAGCTACCACCGTACACTATCCATGGCGTGTTAGGTGCGGTGAGGCTTCCATTAACACCGGGGAACACAGCATTCTGAGCGAAGTGGGCGTTGTCAGCTATGGTTTGGTTTGTAGTGAGGAAGAGTAGCTCATCCGTGGTGCTGGTCTTGAAGGGGTAAGAAGCTCCATAGTAACGATTCTCAAGAATGACACCTTTAAAACTCGTTAGTACTAGTTCTATTTTCTTCCACATCTTATCTCTATTCTTCTATATGAGACGTACCTAAGCCATTTGTAGCTTGCATCAAAATTTGAATAATTCCAGTCTGTAGATTTGAGAATCTGCTCGGACCGCTAGTCTCTCCTGAGATGTACAAGTAGACAGGCCCGCCTGCAAAGAGGTTAACATTGTTATATCAAGCATAGGACATCATGTAAACTAACCAGGCTTATAGTAAGAGCTGTCAAAGTAATATCGCTGCTTGAAGGTACCGTGGCTCAGATTGGACTTGGAGAACACCTCATTGCCGGGGAAGTGGTTGATCTTCTGATCGAAGTAGTGGACACCATATTGAAGCTTATCCCGAGGTGCTTCACGCTTTATTTGCAATGCACCGGCATCCTGGGATAGGGCGGCCAAGAGGCCAATCGACAACCAATTCAGCTTCATGTCCCTGGCTTAAAGACTATGCGATACCAAGAAAATGGATAGCAAAGTGCCAAGGTTGGGAATTATATGCTATGAAGATCCGGATCGACGGGAGCTGATGGCTTAACCAAGTACACTACACTAACCTAGAGATCATCTTCTAGCACGTCAGCTTGCGTGCGCTACCTAGTCGAGTTCGCCAAATATGATAAGAAGTAACGCAAACAATTCCTTAGTTAGGAAAGTTGCACGGCGTCGCATTGCATGCTGACTAGATACTATCCCGGTTTATTAGTGGAGGTGCCTGGCTGCTTACCTAGATAGTCAACCCGCATGTAACTTCAAAGTGCGGTCAGATCTTAGGAATTGTCCACAAATCGTATTCTCGGTTCGGGTTTCGCTTCGATTTTCTACAATTCGTAGGGTTTGTGCTGCCATGGGAAACTCGAGATCGAAGAGCCGCAATCAGTGATCAGTGATCATCACTTATAAAGAAGCGTCATGATTAGAGCCTATCATTATGAAAACTATTATGTCACCACGTAAATAGTTGCGACCCCATCTGCCTGGGTCCGTAGATATCCATCTAACCCCTCTTTGTCTACAATGTCTCAGAGTAGTCTTGAGTAAGCCTAGCAAAAGGCTTTACATGATGCTGGGTATAACGTTCGGATTGATAGTTGAGCCAACATATTTTCTATAGCTATCCCTTTTACCGGGTGATACGTTTATGTTGTGTTAACCGGCATAATGTGAACCCTATAGATGGGTATCTACGTCCTACTGAACGGTAGCGAGTAGCAAACATCGACGGCAACGCGACTAGAATGGTTTTAGTAAATATTGTAGAATTCAAAGACTTCGGTATTTGATCTCGGAGTTTTGAATGAACGAATTTTCGTAAAACTCCGCATCTTACGTATGATCCAACTTCCCACTTGCAAGTTCGGAATTAGAGCATCTTATTGAAGTCTAAGCTGGAACTTGGGTGTGGCCCCGTGATCTAGATGTATACCTAAACTATCACTGTATTCTTCTAAAGATTAAATATAAGATGAGCCTCTTACTATCATATATTATTTAAGATGTATACTGGAGATGCTAGTAGGTCTATTGCTGTCTCAGTCGTAAGACATTCTACGGATACTCTACTAAATTAAGTAATAGAGATGTAATATAATACATGTCTCGAAGAAAAGGAAAGGGCCTCAAAGCGAATATGACTGTACGAGTGTTTCTACGACGTAAAATAGATCAATAAGCTATTTAGAAACTTATTAGTCCAGTGTTGACTATCACCAACAAGACAAGGAACTATATTATCATCGCCATTTAGACACGAGACCGAGTTCTTATAAAAGAACATATACATAACATATATATCGCAATGAAAATCAATTAGTCATTCTATAAAAGAGCCAAGAATAGAAGATATGTACCTTATTTATATTGGTTCAGCCCTATCCATCTCGCAGCACGCCGATGTTACGCTACGTGAAGAAGACCACATCCAGTGTATTCAAATGGTATATGCCAAGGGTTTTCCCATTGCGGCACAGAACCTTGGCTTGTTCTAACTGACACGTCTAACCGCTTCTTATTATCATGATACCAACGCCCTTTCTGGCTGTTCACTGATAATAATTTGTCCGTCGGCCACCGAAGCTATTCCGGCCGATTACGTCCACCTAGGACGCCAGCACGGACTGAGACGTTAGTCCGGCGTAAGCGTAAATGATACTACTTCTACTTCTACGTAGATCCCCGCCATGCCGGCCTTGGTCAGGATAAGGCAGATTGGCTTAGAGGTAATCCCATCACTCTGTTGAATTGCAGGTAATATATCATTATTGAATACCCTCTACATCGGCGTCTCTGCGATCGCTTTCGAAGGCTTGGCACCGCCGTTGTTGCTTATTACGTATCTGCAAACATGACGGCCCCGTCCGTACCTCGTATACGAACTCGCAAGCCCAAAGTCCGCTCCGGTAGGTCTCGTTTTATAAGTCTATTTTGATTCTCATGTCTATCATGAGGACCTGCTCTGTTAACCTGAGCTGAAGGCTGTGCTACATGTAAATCCCGAAGGATTAAATGCGATGAAGGTCGGCCGACCTGTGCTCGCTGTCAGAGAAGCCGGCTGCCTTGCAAATACGAAAATAGTAGGACTCAAAATGGCTCCGTGCCGGTATCTAATAGCGGCGATGCCGGTTCGCAGTTAGCTCCAGGGATACGTTTACATGATCTTGAAGGGCACGAGGTCTTCTACTTCGACTTATTCCGTAACGTCGTTGTAGGCAATCTCTCTCTGAACGGGTACAAGAATTTCTGGACTCGGACTGTACTTCGCGAGAGCCTCAGAGATGAATGTGTACGGGATTGCGTTCTGGGTACCGGTGCGCTGTGTCGGGCAATGATGGACCAGATCCATCGTCTGAAGCAGCCAGGGGCGAAGTCCCTTTGGATGGTCCCAACAGATACTCTCAACCCTATCAATACTAGATACCACAGAGACGCACTCCAGTTTTATACCACGGCCATCTCAAAGTTTCGAAGGCGAATGCTGCTCGAGGGCTCGTCTATTGCGCCACGAACGATCCTGATCATCAGCATTTTATTCATCATGTTCGAGGCGATGCAGGGCAACACGGAGACCATCGATCGGCTTATGCACTCTGCCATACTCGCTTTGGAGAGTTCCTTGTCTGGTAGCATGATTTTTGGTTCTCGGTTACCACCGAATCTAGACGATGAGGGTGTCCGTGAAGCGGACTATTTCCTCGCACGCCTGTCTGCGTTCAACTCTTTGCTATCCCCGTTTTATCCCGCCATACTGAGAAATAAAGCATATCAAAGAACCTGGTTATGCAAAGACGCCATTCCTAGCAGCGACCAAAGCATACAGCAGATAGAGCATAACTTCGAAAGGCACACGACATATATGTTATTCTGGTGCTTTCGTACTATCCAAGCCAGACTTTTCAATAACCCGACAGATTTCATAAAATTCCAAGAGGAACAGATGCTTGCTAAAGATCAATCAAAAACTTGGTGCGAGTTTTTAGAAGGCAAAGTAAACCAAGAGAAGGATCTCGCCCAGTACTGGAGTTGGAAAACTATGCTAGTAGAGGCGAAGATGTTCAACATCTACTCTCATTACAGCCACGACCTAGAAGAATGCGAAGCTATATGGGATTCGCAACTCCCCACCTGCCGCGAAATCATCGTACTCGCGGAGTCGGTGTTACAAGAAGGGAGTCCGCTTACTGGTACTATGCCGCCTCTTTTCGAAGACAAACTGCAACCGATGCTGCGTTCCCTAATATGCAAATGCCGCAACTACGACATTCGGTCGAGGGCACTAGCCCTCTGTCAGAAGCTATCCGGGCCCTGGTTTGAGAATAAGGCGATGGTTGTCGGCATGAGGATCCTTGTTGAGTTAGAAGAACAGCAAAGAGATGCTTCTGGGCTCATACCCTACCGGTCAAGATTAAGATGGAATATATCATCGTGGAACGACGACCGGACAGAACTGCGTATGGTGCTTACAGGAGTTATTACGGGCGATCGTAAGGAGTTGATGATTCGTAAAGACGAAAATATCGATGACATGATTGCAAATATGTCTAAACTATCTGTCTAATCATCTGAAACAAGTACATAAATATTTATGAAGCTCATAACTGATAGTTATCTAAACCAAGATTCTAAACACAACAGAAAACATTGCTCTAGTTACACGACAAAACAACGCAATAGACGCTCAAGGAAAATATCAACAACAGTGGCTTACCCCCGACAGTATTTTCCAAGCGCTCACAACTATCTGTAGCCCCTAGCAATAGACAGCTTGCATGCACAGGATCATATTCGAATACCACCCCTCATTCAAGCCGAATCCGACGATCTTATCGTACTTCCTCGTTTTAATACGGGCTTGCTCGACCGCGCGGTTCATCTCGGCGATCTTGTTCCTCATTTCCTCGGCCCGTCTCCGTTCCTCCTCCGCCGCCACCGCAGCCGCCGCCGCAGCCTCCGCACATATCTTAAAAGCCTTTTTCGTCTCGACCTCCGCCCTGATCTGCTGAGCCCGAGCAAGCGCCTTAGTTCTTCTCCTACGCATCAGCACTGAGTCGTAGAACTGGTCGCGGGTCCGAGGGCTCGGCGGCACCTCGTCTCCCGTCTGGATGTCGTGGGCGACGTCGTCGAACTTGACTCTATTAGGAGATGGGAGTTTGACGCTGATTGATAGCGTCTTTAAGACACCCTTCGGACGAGGCTTAGGGGAGGCAGGATCCATTGTTTCCTGCTGAAGGCTTAAAAGTATCTTATCTTGGAGTTGTGATTTGATTTTATGAATCTTGATGTTACGTTTTGATAAATGCTGGGTTTTACGCCTAACTATCACATGAAGACCGCATCTTTGGCTAAATACCTACCCGGCAAAATATTCCAATAATAACTTGTTATGCCGTTATAGGAGTTTGTTAATGATGCTTCCTCATCACGACTATCATAAATAAAGAGGTAGTATCAAAATCACAATGCCTTGTTCTTAGTCTTAATTTATTCCTCAAACAAAGGATTGACAACTCCTTTGTTCACCAAATATTATCAGACAGACACACCCCTCTTGATGTTGTAATATCTTTTCTAGACTCATGAAACATCGTGCTAGACACGACGTGAATTAATGGGGGGATTTTACATTAGATGACTTTCATACTTAATTTTTAATAATAGATACATTGCGGGCTTTTGTAATGCACGCCAATGTTGTTGCTATGTACAGAAGCCCAGATACCAACTCGTTCTACATACAGTCTCTTGCCCACCGGTTTCCACGAAGCCCCCCTTAGTTTTGAGACTGCAGAATAGTAAGTATCAACACATTTCCGCTGTTAGCGATGCAACAAAACACATCAGTCCCCGTAGAGGCAAGGCAGAAGAGAAACTACAAAAGTACAAGGCTCCACAGGAACATACTAAGCAAGCGTATGTCCGTTCTAAGCTGGGTCGACTCTATAGAAAATGGAAATAGAGGTGACAATTGCTGTCGGAATGAAAAGAGTCGTTAGACTGTATGAATCTGAGGGTACAAAAGGAAATGCAGAGAATGCGTCTTATTGGCACAACGATGAAAAGAGGTTCGGGTATCTGTCGTAATCAAGGAAATTTTTGCCATTCGGAAGTAGGCCACTCGAAATAATAGAAAGACCTCGAAGAATTTATTGTCTGAAGGAGCTGTGGCTTTGGTGCGAGTCTTGGAGAGCTATATATGATATCAGTAAAAAAGCTGGCTAGAAATGAGAGTAGATTGAATAGAGCTTGTGTCACTTACCATGTAATATATTTAACTGACCGGCTCGGTCTTCGCAGGCAATCTGCAGACAGGAGCCTTCCACAAGATCTAAGACAACGCTGTTGGGGAGTTCCTGGATCTCGACATCGGGGATGTAGGGCGCGCGGAAGTCGCTCAAGTGATAACGCTTAGCACCAGCAGCGACAGCCTTGTCCTTTCCACCCGTTGCAGCGCCTTGGATAGCACTCAAGAATAAGAATCCTTGAGTATCTAGAGACATGCTGCGCCGTTTCCATAGCAAGTTGTCCGGAAATTGCACGTTCACATCTCCCATATACGTCACAACTGCTAGCTGAGAAGACGTGGTGACATCAGTCGTAGGAGCGACAAGCTGATCCGCATCTTCCTCAGCGACAGTAGGAGAAATGTGCGGGCTAGTAACTTTCCTGTTTCCGTTAAGAGAGTTTGACAAGCGCCTCATGAATCGAGACGCCCGTGTCTCAGACTTTTTATCACTCTTCTTATCATCATCTCCAGAACCACTATCACTTAGGACGGCGGGCGACCCGATAGGCGTCGACGTTGAGTTCTCCCGCTCACGACTGAAAGATGAACGATGGCTTGAAATTGACAAACGTCGCGCGAAACCACCATTGCTCCGATGGGTTGACGGTGGCCTGTTTGGAGACTTTGATCCGTTAGGAGACATTATCGCTAAGTTATCAGTCGATTTGTTAGCAGTTGATGTTCGGCGGTCCTTGATAAAATCCTTGACTATGCTCAAAGAAGAACGCCGATGCTTCTTCTCGCCATCATCAGAGATTGACTTTTTATCACGTCTCTCTTGAATTGTCTCCTTGGACACCTGTACTAATGGGGTTGGCACTGGCTCGGGAACAGGCTGAGATAGTTCCGGTCTTTGTAAATCTACAATGAGTGGTGACTGCTTCAATTCAAGCTGGGGGTAGTCACCGGGGCTTGCATTTACTTCAGGCTTCCTCGGTAGACTTTGACTAGGATCGCGGACGATTCTTGCAGTAACTTGGATCGATTCAGGCCGCTCACGAGGTGAATTCTGCGTTGGCATTTCGAACATAGACAATCGACTGGCCACCGAGCGAGACCTCTCACGCCTCTCTGCGCCGGAAAGTTTAGGTGGCCTTTCTTGAAATTGTTCGGCGGTGGGAGTATGCAGCTCCGAAGAGCCGGCATGGTCCATCACGGAAGAAGATCTCGACGGTTCTCTAATGCTCTGCCTACGAACACTGAAGAAAGCCGAAGATGGTGCAGCGGTTTTCGGACGAACATCTTCTGGGCTACCAGGGCCGCCAGGGCCAGAAAGTTTCTCTAAGGCCTTGATTCTCTGCGAAATGCTCGAGCCGAGATTGTTCTTCTTAGCTTGCAAGCCAGCGCTCGACGACTGTCGGGTAATATTGTGCAGGAGAGCTGCACCACCTGCCGATACACTTCTGGCGCTGCTCTGCGATACATCACTGGGTGCCAGGAGAGGCCCACGCATCGGATTCGAAACAGCACGTGATAGTGGCGGTCCTGGCCGGACAGAACTAGAATTGGGGAAAACGGGAGTAATGGGCGACTTGGACACGAGCATGGGTTTAGCTTCTTGTAACGTCGCTGACTGTAGCTCCTCCATCAAAGCATCGTCAAGAAGAGGATCGGAGGCTTCAGAGTGAGGCGTAGTCTTTGTCAAGTCAGTTCGAATAGTTCCGACGACGGTCATGCGCTTAGCTGATTTCGGGGGAAGCGTGATCTCCGAGGCAGCCTTCGGGAATGATTCGCCTCCGGTCTGCTCACGGTGTTCTACGGATGTGTTCGGTAGAGAGGGAATGGGCTCTGCGGGAAGAGATATATCTGGTATAGAGAATTTTGATTTTAGGCGGGGAGTTGTTGGTGATCTCTGTTCAGCTCGAGTTTGCGGCTCGTTGGAAGAGAATTTCGAAACCGGTAACCTCAAAGGTGATTTAGGCGTGTCCTCTTCGCTCGGTGGTTGCTCGTTACCCTTTGAATTGGGCGGCGAGATGGTATCAGTAAGACCATCCGCCTTGACAGAGCTGGGGATCGAATGCTCTGTTGTTTGTGTAGGATGGTCTGGACTCTCTTGAGATTTCTGACTAACTTCAGTATTCTTCGCGTCTAAAATATCCGTGTTCGTCTTAGTCTGCTCTAGCCTATCTTCCATTCCTGGAAGACCTCTGGGCGCAACCTCCTCAGCCTCTTTCCTTATGTCTTTCGAGGCTTGGACAGTTTCATCAGTCGACTCGGATAGGGAGGATGCTTTCGTAGATGCCCCTATTTCAGATGATGTTGCACCCGTCGGAGAATTTGGGCGGGAGTCGGATGTATCCTCAGTATTGATCGTCATCGGGGTGGGTGGATCAATGGCAATACCCGAATCTGCGTTGGATACGGCGCGGTGACCAGTGTCGCCCTTGATTCGCAGAGAATCTTTAGATTCAGTATCACATCCTTCTTTCTCCTCGCCTGGAGGTATATTATCTAACGGTGCTGTCTGTTCTGACGTTGTAGTACTCATCATCTTCTTCTTTTCCCTCAGCTTCATGGCCTTCATAAGTCGTGCTTTCTCAGGTGTAATTTTCACCTCCTTTGTCGGTGGGGGCGCTAGCGATTGAGTGGTTGATTTAATAGAAGCTCCCGAACTCGTTGCGGGTCGTGGGGGCAGTTGAAGGCCAGTGCCTTGTGGAACCTCAGGGATAAGTTTAGATGGCGCGAGGGCGGTATCCAAAGCAACCCCTTCAGCTTCTTCAGTCTTCTCGACTTGTTCCATATCTTGAGATTGCCCCTTTTTAGTCCCCTTAGAGAATAGCTTAAATCCTGCCGGCAAGGCTGCAGTGGGCCGAAAGTTTTCCGCCGTTGAAGGCCTTTTGTTTGTATCTAGAGATGGTCGGGGACCGAGCTTCACTTTTGGTTTACCATATGCATATGTCGCGTAGCCGTATAAATCAGGGCGCGTGGATTGGGAGGATAGACGTGGAGCACTTTCGGACTGTGTAGGAGATGTCGGTCTGTCAGCTCCTGTAAATTCTGGGACGTTGGCTGTTGAGGCAAAGCTGGTTTCTTGCGGGGCGGAGATCTGTTGACTATCGAGTACGGTAGGGCGTTCTATAGGCGGTGAGTGAGCGGGTACCGAGTACACAGATGATGCGCGTTTATCTTCCTCCTTAACCGTGGACTGCCTTTTTCTCTCCCTTTCTTCTTCTTCCTCTTCCTCAGCAATCTCATTCAGTCTCCGCCGTCGTAATGAACTCGTGGACGATGATGCCGATCCAGAAGCGGTATGCAGCGAACAAGCTGCAGAAAGCTTACTATCTTTCAGATCTTTGGCTACCGAAATTTCGAAAGTGATATCGTACGGCGCAAACCGCTCACAAATAGCATTGAAATGCACTGCTGCACGAGCTATACATGACAATTCAAATCGAATTAGCAATTTATCCTGCTTAGTCTTCTATTTCTAGAGCTAGATTGAAAATGACTAGACAATAGGTGCATAGTATGATTAGCTGAATAGCTCACCTTGGATAAGTCTCGAGCAATCCTCAGGTTGGTATTTTAATAAGACACTCCTTCGCCTATACTTAAGGAAGCCGTACAATGGCGATGCCTCTTCGTATTTTGCGATTGCACCACGAACATCAACGATGCCACCACTCCCACGGTCAAGAAGCTCGATTTCGTCGCGATTGGCGTATTTGAGAAGGAACCTATGTTAGTTGGACCAGACTTAGGTCAGCGGCGCAAACTTAGACAAACGATTTGGGACGGGAAATAAAAGGCAACATTGTGGTAAGAACAGCGACGTAGATCACGACACATTTACCACATGAGGAATATTTTGGCACAACAAAAAAAAAAAGTTTCATACCATCCGCCAGGTTCGGTGGTAGCGACTTCGTGGGCTTCTATAACCTTAGCATCGTCCAATCCATTCAACGACATTCTTAAAAGATGCCGTCCAATGCGACAGCTAATCTAGTAGGATTCGGTGTTACACTGGAAATTTTGTCGACTTGTAAATTTTTTTTTATATGCGATTCGAGATCCTACCGGCCTACAACCAACTTATCGGCAGGCGAGATACAGGATGGATTAGATATAGGTAGTTATCCGGAACCAGAACCAGGGCCAATTCGAGGGACCGGCAATCTGGTTCGACATTGAGACAACACCATTCGAAGGTGATAAAGTATTTACAGAGATGTCACCATAAAAATGGTGTCGACGACAAGGCGCATAACATAAATCGAATTTCTGTACACAGATGAAGAAGAGTTGAAGCGGCCGAAACGAAAATAGGCGGGATAGCGGTATGGGGTTCGACCAGGGGGCGGGAAATTTCGATAGGGGTTGAAGGATAGTAATATCGTTCGTAGGTAGGTAGCTAACTACACATGCTATGTAGATAGACCAGGGATCAGGGGGTGGTGCCCGGTGCGGAAGCCCGAGCGCTAGTAAGACATCTACGGCTCAGATAATCTTCTGCAGCTATGTTATGTAGGACAGAAGACACTATTAACGACGATAGAAGCGAAAATTGGTGAATATAATAAAAGGGTGAGTTGATCCGTGGCGAGGAACGATTTAAGGAAACTGCCGAAGATGCTTTCACCGAAGTTTGTACAAACAAACGTAAGGTCCTTTAATGTACTTTATAGGATAATATTAATAAAGAATTAAACGAGTGACAATAATAGTAAGATAGAAGACAAATAGCTACCTTCTATCTTTCCACCTCTAGCAATGTGTATGTAGAAAGAGAGACAAGATACGGCTGGGAGGTATGTAGAGCCTGGTAAGGAGATTTCAACAGGGTGAAAATGTGGTGGTAAGTTTAGACATGAGCCAATGATAGCTGATCGGTTGAAGAAAGGGGGAACATCGGAAGTGCACTTGGGATTTCACACTTGTTTTGTGGAGGTACTTACCTAACAGGAGATTACCCTACCCAGACTGTCTGATTGGGTACCTCTTAGGAAAGTGCGTACTGAATAGATGTATTAAGTAATCGGGATTTCATATACAGGTACATAATGAAGTATGAAGTACGAAGTACGAAATACATGATAATACAGGGAAGAAATACCCGGTAGAGGTACTGTCTTCTATTCAATTTCCATTCCAAGGTCCAAGGTTGAATGCCGTATCTTAAACATTGGGGCTTTCTATTGAGAAGCCTTTTAGAATTAACTTCATAGTACAATGTAACAATATATTGCTAAGCTGATCTTGGTAGAAGAATAATTTAGAAGGTTTAAATCTCGGCCAACACTAGCCTAAATCTGTAACAACGGAGAAGCGCTAATCTCGACCACCTTGCATTAGTAGATTGTGCCTGTTGCACATATGTATGTACGTGCATACCTAGGTATGTATATAATATCAGGTTAGAGCGATGAGCAACTTCGAGCCCCGCACACTTTTTCGACGCATAGACCTTGCGCAATCTTCAAGGTTTACAGTTCTAGCAATGAGACACCTACGAAATAAACCAATCAGCTTGCACAATGCAAATGGATATAGTTTACACAGTATGTTAGAATTAATACGGTGCAGTATCCTCTTTCAGGGGCACAACGTGGAGGGCCGTCTCTCGCTTTTATTGATCCCCTATTTAATATTCTAGGTACTCGATTTTTCGGAAAAGGCGCCAAGATTTTGTTCGGCCATCTCCTTTTCATTGCAAAAGATCCTCAATAAATTATCTTGAATACGCAGCAATCTATGAGGATACCCGTTAAGACAAGTATTATCGTATATTAGTATTCGACCTTTACGTGTTTGTAAATAACTTCAAACTACTTCTTCTAAAAAGGGCATAGGCTCAGTTCTAGAGACACATGTAGGTACCTAATATACCGCGTTCTTAGTTCATAAGACATATTATAGGGTGACATCGTCGCGACCCGGGACAACCCGTGTCATTGCCTACTTCATGAACATTCGTCTCGACGGATGAGATAACTTGCATATTATATTCGGATGGCCGAAAACTTTCGTGTGCTCACATCCTATTAACTAGAAACCTACCCGAAAGAACCGTAAACCGACCGGACTTGTCAAGACGTTGTATCCCATGTTAAATGAGAGGATTGACTACCGACCTATATATGTACCTGTTAAGCAAGTAGAACTGACTTGAATGAGTAGTTATATGTACCAAAACTCCGGCTTATAATCACATTCGTATCACTATGCTTTTGTTTAAAGTACCACCGAGTATGACGATGTGGCTGTACGCTGATAGGATAAACGTATATGTAGAATTAATATCAACTGTCAGCCAAATCAATATAATAGACTGACCTGCATGCATGAGGCGTAAGAACCTTAAGTCGTTTCTAGCCGAAAGACTGGCTTAGAAACACCGAGAGAGTTTTCTCGTACTTAGCAAGACCTTATTTACTAACGCCTACAACTTGCCTGTTTTTTTTATAATAGGAATTCCCAGTTATGTCCCGTAATTTTTTTTAGGAGTCTAGATTTTCTATCCTACAAAGAATATTACTATTAAGAATGAATGTCTAATATAGTGTTGGTTTGCGCTAGCAGTGGAGAGAAGTCTAGAATAGCTTTTTTTTCTTATGCCTCTTATATCTAATCGAGTGCCAATACATACTTACAATATACTTTAGGGCTGACAACCTACTCGGGACGGACAAATCAAACATTTGCTCCTCTGAGACGGAAAAGGGTTGCTCGGCAAAAACACTAAGTAGGTAAGGTCGAAGCTAGGATATGGCTTTAATGTTGATAGATGGCAAAAGCCCGAATTTAACATTGAGGATAGACAATTGACCCGAATTTCCTCCAAAGGTTCACACCCTCTAGTCTGGTCTTCCCATGGGTGAGGATATAAGCTTTCATATTGTCAATATTTCATTGATTGCTGTGACCACTACCTATAACGTACACCTTTTCATAAGCCCATGTTAAGCTAAATCATCATCGCCGGTAGGCTCTACAGCCCACTTGCTATCCTCGTCCCCCGACATGGTCGGGTCTTCGTTTACTCCATAAAGACGTCTCCCTAATACAAATATGAAATGGCCAATGGAACCAACCATCTTCATGGGCTATCAGCTTGACTATGGTAGCTTCGTGGTCGTGTACCGACTAAGGTTCACCTGAAATATGTACATCATGCCAAAAACGTTAGACATGCCCCCTACTGCCTTATGAATAACGAAAACCTTAGTGTATCGCGAGAGTCGAGTTTGGCAGCAACTTTCGGAGGCGGGATGTAAAATAGGTCTGTAATTGTTGGTAGAGATCCTAAGAACAGTACACTAATCCCATTATAAAAGAACCGGAATTAGGATTTTGATGATGGGCTAGTCGTGTTCGGAGATGTCGAATCCGAAGTTGCGAGGCCGCCTGGGTTCGGGATTGCGTCTGCAGTGACCTCCGGCGCATCGCTGTCTTCTATCGACGACGGCTCCTCCTCGACCGGCCCTTCAATGATAGTCGGTTTGAAAGCATCTCCGTCGTCGATGGGTATAAGATCATGGCCTCGACCACTGTTACTGGCTGATACGCCAACGGCCGGTGAATCGCCTTCAGCAATCTTTTGCTTAGTAGAAATCACGATTTTATCGGCTTCGCTTATCTTGCCTCCCACACCAGAGATATCTCCCTCCACACCGATGGGATTCTCCTTATTGTTTTGATTCTCTAGCAGGGCAGCCTTATCGAATCGAACGATCATGCATGATAAATTGTCTGTGCTGAAGCGAGCTAGGGCATGGTCAACAAGCTTCTTAGCCGCAGCCGCCGGGTCTCGTTCGTCGCGAACGAGATTAACCGCATCCTGGTCTTCGCAAACGTCCCAGAGCTAGGCACTTATTAGTAACAGTCTGAAAAAAAGGATATCTAATGGACTTACACCGTCGCAAGCAATGATAATAAACTCATCTATTTCGGGCTGGATAACGGTCTCGGTGGTGTACGGATGACCTGTTACAAGGTCCTTCATGTATGTATCTCCAAGAGCTCGAGTGACGGCTAATACACCATTCACACGGTTATTGAGGATCAATCCTCCAGCGTTCGCGATCCGCTTTCCTTCGTTTTCGTCGCTACCCTTGTGGTCATACGAAAGACGTAATGCTTTACCAGCTCTACATAGAATGATCCTAGCATCACCCACATTTGCCGTGTATAGAACGCGTTGCCGAACCGCAGTACCCTTCAGCCTTGCATGAGCTGATTCGACGATAGCATTGTTACCGCTATCATTCTCAAGCTTCGCATCCCGAGGCTTTAACGTATCCGGCGTCTTTGAAGCAGCAGCAGCCGCCGGGGCGATGGCTTGAGAACCGGTCGCAGAGTTTGAGCTAGGAACCCGGTCCTCCCAACGCAAGACGGCAATTGCTGCGGTACAGCCACTGTTCTTAAGAGGAAGCTTCTCGAGCTGTGCATCAACATTGGTGAAGGTCTGATCAAGAAGTTCGGGAATAGGCACATTGGGATTTCGTCGTATGGTGTCTTCGAGGATAAGATGCAGCTTCTTTCCACACCAGTCTGCAGCGAAGGTACCAGCATGCCCATCAAATATCGCAAAGTAGCCGTTGTCGGTTTCTACTATGTCCTGCGCGCTCAACTCAGGCTGGCTAGAGTCCTCTGATGTAGACCTTTGGGACTTTTGGCTCTTGTTACCCGAATCTAGGGCAATAAGGGGTGCGGGAGTATGCAGGAAATTGTAGAGGAACGCATGCGTGTCTTCCATTGTACGACGGCATTTTTTGTTCCTATCTTCCCAGACACCGACGCGGAAGGTAGATCGTGGACCGGGAAGGGATTCTCCAGCAGAGTTATTGTGTTGGCCTTGAGGTACCGCAAGAGATTGATCTTGCTTGCCTAATTTCTGTAGAGGAGTCTGAGAGCTAGCGTCACTATTTGTCCTTCCAGCCTGGCCGAAGTTCAAGCTATTCTTGGCACTGGCTATAAGACTGCTGGCTTTGCTCCCGACGCCAGAACTCCTGCGCTTCTTCTCCGAATTACCCGTATCGGGATTATGTCGCCCTGGTGGGCTACCATTTCCACTGCGCTTCTCGCCGCTAGTCGCTTGATCAGGAGATTTTGTCGGAGTAACACCCGAAGTAGACTCGTGCTTTCGGTCCGGAGACGGGGATTTCTTCTCCGACTTCGTAGAGTCGGCTACAACAGTATCAGATTTGGCCGCAGCAGAACTGGAGCCGCCGCCAAACATTCTATTAAGCAGACCTCCCTGTGAAGAGAGACTGCGTCGCTTATTCCCTGCCAGATTTTCGGGAGTTGAAGTCGTCGATTGTGGAAGGGGGATATGAGGTCAATATGTAGATGCGCCTAGGTTGTTAAGCAATGCGGAGAAATGCGCAGATCTTTTGGTCTTTGATATGGTGATAGGAGGTGTTATAGGCGGGAAAGAAAGATTGCACAAAGGCTTATTGTAGATTGGCGTCAAAGAATTGGGCGCACAAGATACTTGAGTCTGTATAGAACTGTCGTCATATATGAGGCGTTTGGCCAAAGTCTTGTGACGGTGGGACGCTAAGAAAGACTAGGTTAGACAACTGTAATCATAATATGTTGTACTGTATCGTATAGGAACCCTGTTGTTCGGGGGATATAGAAGCTTTAGCCGTAAGGGAGCGATGAATAAGTAGAACTAAAAATGGAGCGCCTAGCACCATAAGGCATAAGGTAGGCGATTATACCAAATATAAGAGAATGACAGGATGGAGGAGTCGAGAAGAAGACAATACCGAGGGACAATGGGGGAGTGATCGGGCTGTGCAATAGTAAACAGGCGCAAAATAAGATAGGTCAGGTCAGGTAGGGCGATAAGTAGGGCAATGTAAGGTTAGATTAGGTAGAGACAAGTAGAGACAAGTAGAGACGAGGAGACAGGGATTGAGACTCGAATCAAGTCAAGTCACTAGGTTAGGTATTTAAGAGGATAATGAAAGGAGAGTTGCGACTAACCAAATAATTAATCTATGTTACGTACTCATTGGCTCTGGATGAAAAGGGTATCTGAGACGTGTAGAGTTTATGTGGTGTGGTATGGTACAAATACAAGAGTTGTCGCGAAGTCCAACAGCGATAAATCGTGGGGTGTTTGGGTGTGATGTAACGGATGGATAGTAGAATTGAGAACGAACGAGGGGAGGAATCTATTGAGCAGGTCCACCCCTACCTGTCTAGGTTAGGCTGCTAGGTTAGTAGGTTCAATAGGTTGCTTGCTTCTTGCTTGAAGGAAGGTGATACCTTGAGACGGAGAATGCCAATTGGTCTGTGCACAGAAAGCGGTACCACAGGCGCCGGCGCTTCGGAGCTACAATAGCATCCGGGACGCAATCGCAATCACCTTAAGGGGAATGATAGCCAATGGGGAAATCTTATTGGGAAATCCGATTGGGAGACTTGACGATCACTACATGTACCCACCTAACTTTCGGTATCTATCTACATGCATCTATATATCTGTCTTCATAATGTATGCACGTTTCTACATATGTATAGTTATCTTAATATTTCTTCAACACATCTCCAATCCACTAGGTTAAACTACTCGGATATGTGATTGTTGATAATATGATTGTCGATACCATCTATGGGATAATGTGTAAAAAGGAGGTTAGAATACAGATTCGGTCTCCTAAATCTATAATAGCGAATGCGAACCCGACAAACGCGCAGATGATATCATTTACCCACTACGGCGTAAAGCTGCATGATCCGAAAAAGCCACGTCTAAATCGCCCCTTGTTCTACAATGACGACTTTTATTTAATCCACCTAACCTAGCAGCCTGTCTCGAAAAGTAATGGCGCGGTCTTGGCATTTAACCTTTCTTATAAAACCACCAATTATACAAGCAAAATAAATAGTAATAAAATTATAATATATATCATTTTATTTATAAAAGGCTATTATACTTTTTATCATTTTAGTTTTTTTGTCAAAATAATAATGCGTTAAAAATATAGCTTTAAATATAATATCTTTAATATCGGTTTAATATACCATATTAATATACTTATAATTCCACTATTTCTAAAGCAATAAAATTATAAAAAATACCTATAATAACAATAAAAGCCAAAAAGTTAATAGGTATTTTTTTCTATTTTTTATTACCTTTTTTTATGCCTTTCTTTACATATATTATATGGTGTTATTTTTGAAAGAAAATGCCAAGACTGCGCCATTACTTTTCGAGACCGACTGCCTAGATAGTACTACCATAATAACAAGCTATTTCAATGAGTCTCATTGTTATGACCTAGAAGTATATAGAAACGTTGTTCATACCAAGTCTTCCATGATATTACCAAATATTGAAGAATATTTACTACTTCTAGTAACCGAGCGTGTTACTAAAGAACTTACACTATCAATATTATTAATAGGTTTGGATGGGGACTCTGCATATGGATTGGTAATATTGTTACTGACATATTCGATATATCTCATAGCTTCATACGTATATTAGGTCTCACCGTGACATAATAATAGCATTCATATAAGCAATCGCTTGTCTACCTTCTATCTGCCTTCACTCATTTTCACTCTCGGGATGAGACTGAAAGTTTGACGGTAACTACAATAATTACAATATTCAAAAAAACAAAATTACGTTGCCCAACATGACAGAGACATTTGGCCCAGCTTTCAAAGATCAAGAGCGACCGCTTCTGAGCTTCGGATTACCCTTCGTCGAATCACTCCTTAAGCATGCAGACACTACATTTCATGCAACTAAAATCTATGTTATCTGCTCTAGATCTCTTGCAGGAAACACAACATATCTCGACGAGCTTAAAAGAAGATTGGGCAATAAAATTGCCGGTGTTAGGATTGGCATGAAGCCGCATTCTCTCTGGTCTGAGATACTTGAAGTTGTAGCTGACACAAGAAAACTCGATGCAGACCTAATCATCACACTAGGTGCGGGGAGTCTAACAGATGCGGCCAAAATAGTCTCATTCGTATGCTTACATCCCGTGACTGGTGATAAAGGGGCCACGATACTAACATGTACTAGGCACTAGCAAACGATGTCTCAACTCATGCTGAGCTAGACTCTCTCTGTCCAACAAGCCCAAAAAAGCGTGATGATATCAAGCCATCAAAAGTGCCAGTTGTTTGCATTCCCACGTCGCTCTCGGGTGGGGAGTATTCGTCCTTTGCAGGTGCGACGAACGACGAGACAGGACAAAAATACTCTTTTTCGGGAGCACTACAGGGTCCTGCACTAGTTATCCTTGACCCAGAGCTTAGTACGACAACGCCTGATAAAGTCTGGCTAAGCACCGGTATCAAGGCCGTAGATCATTGCGTGGAAACCCTTTGTTCCCTGAAGAGTGACGATGCGGCAGATCAAGATGCTAGAGACGGGTTATCTAAGCTTATCCCAGGTTTAATCAAGAGCAAGCAGAATCCTAAAGACCTCGAGGCACGATTGAAGTGTCAACTCGGTGCTAGAGACGCTATGGGCGCATGCAGTCGGGGAGTGCCTTTAGGAGCAAGTCGTAAGTGAAATCTCAGACTTTCCTCAACTAACTAGGCTCTATTAGTCTACTTTAAGTAGCTAGAAACTCTCAAAACTAATACCCGTCATTAAATCAACTCCAAAGCTCTTGAAGATATAATTTTCTAACTCTGGTTACTGCAGACGGCATCGGTCATCAATTAGGTCCAGCGGGCGTGAGTCATGGCGAGACGAGTTGTATTCTTAACCCAGCCGTGTGTAAATATAACTACAAGAAGGGCGCAAATGTCGAACGCCAGAACGCCATTATCCAGCTCCTCTGGGAAGACTCCAAAGCCAGAGAGATTTTTGCTCAAAAAGGACTGGAAAAGGAGACGGCTGACCTTGGTGATCTGATGGATGCTGTCATCCGCGCTCTTGAGTTGCCGAGAACGCTCAGTGAGTTTGGTATTGGGGAAGATAAACTTAGCGGCATCGCCGAGCACAGTTTAAAGGATCGCTGGGTGCAGACCAATCCCGCTCCTCTAGATAAGGAGGGCGTGTTAGAGATACTGAGGATGGTACTCGAATGAGCTGTGTTCGTAATGTATATTATCCCGTATGAGATAAAACAATGTCCATAAAAACAGATCCCAAGCTTCCACACCTCACGCTCATAACCACGCATATTAATGTCTCAACAAGTCCAGTCTTTGGTAAATCCTTCGCTGTCGCACGTAAAGCCTTACACCTAATCCGTATTTATTTCCTCAAACTGTCAAGGCGAGCCTGGAGATCGTCATCCCCGGGGTCTCCACCACCGCCGCTAGGGCCACCGATAGCTTGGGCAATCCGACCCTCAGGGACTTTCTCGGATTGAAGGCCTGTCGGGGTCTCTCCGAACTATTTAGTGTTAGACAGCGAGGTTTGCGACTTATAGTGAGTAGTATACTTACGGCTTGGTTCAGGTCGACACCAATTTCCTCTAAGACTTGCTCCACAACTTCGTCACCCTCCTCTTCTATGCCAACGTCCATCGCATCGTCAATCGCATCATCCATCATCTCCTGCCTCTCGTCCATAATAGCAGTCTCTCGTTCGAATTCCATGGCGATACGTTGTAATGCGGGTAGGTTCATCGACCTATTCATGCTGCCAAGAGCTACCGTAGCTCCTTTCATTGCTTGCATCATTTGCTCGTTGGTTCGATGGGTCTAAAATGTGTGCTCGTCAGCGTGGTGCTGCTAATAGGTTTGCGATTAGGAGTGACTGACCTGTAGTCGTAATGATATTTTCTGTAGTTGACTCCTCATCCCGTAGAACTTCTCGACATATCTGCAGAAGGGTGATCGGGTATTAGTGGGATCCTCCACGTAATCGTTCAAGGTCCTAGAGCTTCTTACCTTCTCGTGCGTACCAGATCCTTCGCTTGGATCTTAGCTGCCCCCATTTGCCCCTTTTGCGCACTCTGTTTAATCTGGCCGACGAGGGTTTTCTCTTGCTTCTCTAGTTTAACTCGCACTTGATCTAGTTCTCGGATTGCTTTATCGATCATGCGCTGGTTTTTGCGTAGACGCTCGGCAGGCGTCATGCGCTTGCCGAAGGCCCATTCTAGGATCTAGCCGTAGATAGTCAGTTTTCCATTCCCGTATAACCATTTGCGAGCTATTGTGTTTGCTGGCTTACGTTCATCGCTACGGAAGTCGAAGTATCTCACACAAGTCGGCTGGGAACCGTGCTCAAGTAGAGAAGGTATCGGATTGCCGGCGAATAAGTCGTTAATTTCTAGTAATTTTGACGAGTCTAAGTGAAGTACGCGTATCGTTACGTCGATGGAGTCCCAATAGGCATAAATCTCGGTTGATTCCTAATAGGTTCCCAATAAGTTCTCAGCGGTCAGCGATGTGTAGCCTGGTAAATACGGATCCGTACCAATTAATGAGAACCTTGAGTTTAGATCAACCTCACATGCAGTGACGCTGGGGGAGGTACGTACCTCTTTATAACGTCCAATCCTGTTGCGTAATAGGACCCGCTTAGCACCCGCTTAACACCCGCAACTAAACACTATTATATACATATATGAGATATATATGCATATAAAAGAGCATAATGCCCGACCCAATTTATAGGTAGGTCAATATGTCTAAAAGTCTGATGTAATCCAGGGTTATGGGTCGATAGGTGCTGCAACTCACTGTTAAGCGCACATCATCTCAACCAATCAGAGCTTTTTCTCTGCATCACCATGCCATAATTTCCCGAGGTCGCCTCTATTCTAGAAAGCAAAAAGCTATCACCGCTCATCTTTTTACTCAAATAATCTTTCATTTACAACTACCCCGCGAATCAATACGAGAGCCAGAGGATTAATTCCTCACCATCGATTTCGAAGTTGGCAATACTTATGAGTTTACGAATTTAACGAAAGCGATGAGTGGCAATCAAAAAGGCAAGGGCAAAGGCCGCCGCGGACGGAATCGTGAGGAAGAATCCGCATCAGCTCCGTCTTCTTCCGGAGCCCCGGGCTACATGACCGTCGGCAGCGGTTCTTCGCAGTATGCTTCACGACTACAAACACTTATAGACGATGATTCAGGCTACGGCGGTAGCATCGCAGGCGACGATGCCAGTTCATCTAGGCGACAGGTCGGTTCTTCTCGAACTGACCCGTCTTTGTCGGGGGATATGCCGCTACAACGCCGTTCTTCCACCAGCCCGGACTCTGAACACCGAAAGGAAGCAGCAGCTATTCACCAGATGTGGTACAATCAGCATCGATCGTCTTTAAATCGCGCCATCAGTAAAGTCGTCGATCTCCTCAAAACCCTCCAAGAGACAAATATCACCTGGCCTGCGCATTATCCTTCAGTCCAGAGAGCGGAAAGGGCTTCTCCCGAACGGTCCGCACCACGTCCAGGAATTCAACATACCTCTACTATGGGCCCAGAGTCCTCTTCGCACCGCTCGCGCCCATTGCGACGATCCATGACGACTACAGAAGACTACGAAACTGCAGAATCTAGTAGGGATGCGGAGAATAAAAACGCAGTAGATTTACCGAGACTAGTTTCACCGCAGATTGCCCAGGAGTTTTCGATTCTAAAGTTGGACCTTAAGTTAGGCGGTTTACATCAGACTGAGCTCGTCCATTCTCTTGAGAAAGGATCTATTGCCGCATTGCTGGATGGAAAGATTAGCTCTACCATCAAGCATTTACAGGTACTCCGTGAAAGAATCGAGGACACATCGAGCAAGGTTTTGGTAACTGGAGACCTGAATGCCGGAAAGTCTACGTTTTGCAATGCGCTACTGCGCCGAAAGGTACTCCCGGAAGATCAGCAGCCATGCACAAGCATTTTCTGTGAAGTCTTGGATGCGAGGGAGAATGCTGGAGTTGAGGAGGTCCACGCAGTCCATCAAGATTCGATCTACAATCGACACGACGAATCGACCTATGACGTCTTCCCCCTAAATGAATTAGAGCAGATAGTCCTCGACAATGTTACCTATATGCAATGCAAAGTTTACATCAAGGATGTGCGAACGATTGATGAATCGTTGCTCAATAACGGCGTTGTCGATATTGCTTTGATTGATGCGCCGGGTCTCAATTCTGACACGACCAAGACGACGGCCGTATTTGCGCGCCAGGAAGAGATTGATGTGGTTGTCTTCGTTGTATCTGCTGCGAATCATTTCACCCAGTCTGCAAAAGAGTTCATTTGGGCTGCTGCGGCAGAAAAAGCGTACATATTCATGGTAGTCAACGGTTATGACCTCATCAGAGACAAGGAGCGGTGCCAGAAGATGATCCTAGATCAGGTGTATGGTCTAAGTCCTCGTACATTCAAAGAGTCCACCGAACTCGTACATTTCGTGTCCAGCAATGCTATACCGGTTTCTTCACCTCCTGGCGGTCCAGATGGAGGAGGCAGCGGTAGCTCGAGTGGAGGTGGCGATGACCCTGGTGATGATCCAAAAGGAAAAGGCAAGGACAAGGAGAAGGTTCGGGATTTTGAGAAGCTGGAACAGTCCCTAAGGCGGTTCGTCTTAGAAAAGCGAGCACGGTCTAAGCTTGCGCCCGCCAAAACCTACCTCCTCAACATCCTCAACGATGTCAACGTACTGGCTACTGTCAATTCCGAGATGGCCACATCCGAATTGGAGCGAGTGCTGAGCGAGTTAGAAGTCATTGAGCCTCAGCTAGAAGCTTCAAGGAAAGCAAAAGCTGAGGTGAGTGAGGATGTGGACCAAACCATCGAGGAGACTTGTAAAGATATTTATGACCACACCCGGACTACTCTCAACTCAGTCATTGCCCACGCTGGTGATGGCAATTCCGGTGTACCTTATCCAGGTCTATTCCACGTTTTCCAGTACGCCGAAGAGTTGAAGGAAGCAATGCTATCTCAGATCTCAGAGTCAGTCACGTCCTGTGAGGAGTACGCACGGACGAAGACTGTTGGCGGCGTAAATATGATCAAACAACTCGGCATAATGCATCTCGGCAACGAATATCACGATCTCAACTTCCGCGCTGACGTCATGTTCCGAAGGAGACGTGACGTATTAGCGAAACAAGTCGACGTATCTACCGAGTTCTTGGACTTTGTCGACTGGTCTACACTGATGCAACGGCAAGAGAAGATGGCTGGCACTGGAATGGCCTTAACCGTTGCTACTGCAATTGGTGGGCGTTTAGTTGGCGGTATGGGATGGATGGATCACACTCTGAGCATAGTGAAGATCGTCGGAAATGACAACCTTCGAAGGCTAATTGTCCCTGGCTTAGTCCTAGCAGGTATGTATTACCATGGTGTATTGATACGGAATTAAAGCTAACTCTTATTTCCTAGTCGTCTCAGCTACAGCTTACGTTGTTCAGCAAATACCGCATTCACTACCTCACCGCTTGTCTGAAAAGATCTCAGCGCAGTTAACAGCAATCGACTACGTCCATGCAAATAGCAATCGCATCTCGAGTTCAGTGCGCAAGGTACTCCGATACCCCGCGGACAATCTTCGAGTTGCCTTATCGCGCTCCGTCGAACAACTTGGTAAGCGACAGGAGGAGACTATGAAGGTGCGGGGCGAAAGCGAGGTAGCCCTCAAGTATTTTGGGAACCTGGTACGCGAGAGTGCCCACCAACGCAGCTTAGTCGAGGAGATAGATCTCGATGCACACCCTCTGCCCCCTGCCGGCGTAAGCATTGCTTGAAGCAAGACATATTTATCTACGTACGGCATGGAATGGCGTTGAGGAGGGTACACTTGAATTATCGGCATGACATCTCGTTTATTTGAGCTTACGGGCTCCCTTCTCTAATAGTCTTGGTGGAGATGATGGCAAGGGAAAAAAAAAAACTTCACGAGTGACGTAGAATGGCACATGGTTTTGTGGCGTCCAGAGTCTGTTGTAGGCTGGACGAGTATATGAACTCTACTCCCCCATTCTTTTTTTCCTCAATCCATATGTACGTACGTACTAGTTTATACTAAATCATAAGGAAAATCAGGGTTTAACCGAGTTTAGATCTACGTAGAGCATTAGGATAGAAGCACGAATAGCGTAGACAGTATAATATTATTTACGTCGTAATAGGTACGGTAGCATTTTGTTTCTGTAATACCTAACTGTATCCGGGGAAATTATTGACCACGATTAACTGGGGTAAACGTGAGCGAGTAGTATTAAGTCGCATCAATAGATAACTATCCCAGTATTACTATAGTATTAACTTAGGGTTATATGACGATCACGTAAATGTTTGCTTTTAAAGCTACCGAGATTGAGGTCCCACATCTAACATACATAAAAGGCAAACAGCTGAGTTAGCTCTAGACTATCTAACAGCTTGATGTCTTTTTTTTTTTCTATAGAAAGAGTATAGTTACTGTTGAAAAGACTGTTGAAGATTTAAGTCTTTCTACATACTACGTAGTATAGCCGAGTAAGAATCTCGTTTATCAACTAATCATATTGATCTACCCGAATATCCCACTTTACATCTCACATAACCACGTAAATACGTATGTAAGCTGATCATATCTAGGATTAGCTCGGCCAGCAGTGGGGAAGGGAGAGAAGAAACATGGTACTGACACGTGTAGAGCGGTCTCGTTGTTGGCTAATGATTAACGTACCATCCCTTATGCACGTAGTATATGTATGTATGAGATACCTAAGGTACCTACATGTCTTGGTAATGTCTTGGTAACTTGGTAGCTACATTGTATACATAGTATGTATACGTCGTGAGCCGGCGTACGGGAGCGTTGGAAGCAATCCGGGCCGGGCCGGGTCACGTTGGGAATCGGAATACGCAATCGCCAATCGGCAGGAGATATTTGCTCGCCGCACGAACCCTCAAGGGTCTTGGTTTCATAGCGGTGACGACAATTCTATAATATTTCCAAATACTACATCAGGAGGTACGCAACCACAATTCAAGCGGAATACATGCTTCGCGATACTACATCAAATCTTAATTTCTCCTTATGTCCGGAAGCGCGGATTTGCTTGGGGACTATCCCACATCCGGGACGAGCCGCGTGATATCGACCCGAAGTTCAGGAAAGGCGCCCCTGCTACTGCAGAAGCAGCAGCACCAGCTACATACGCGTGGCGTACACATGCAGGGCAAGGAATCCTATGTGTGAAAAAGTATTAACATCCTAGCCCTGGAAGAATAACGCTCAGCTGATAAACCAGTAGAAGTGGGTTTATCGTGCCCACATACGAAATGCAGAAGGTCCCAGCGCTCCGTCAAAGCACGCGAGGAAATGCACATAAAGCATTTACCCGTCGTTGTATCCGCGCCATCCGTCAATTTGTTATGGGGTAGGTATTTGTAATGGGGTATTTGTATTAGAGCTAAGGCATTTCTCAGTCTGCCTATGTAACCTATAGCCTATAGTAGACCTCCTATATAGGGGTATGTATACCATGTATGGAATATCCAATCCGTACAAATGAGACTATGTACCGTTTGTACTGTATATAAAAAAGAATTTATGCAGACTTGCTCAAAGCACTATGCTAAGCGAGCCGTCTTTATGCAAACAGTCTGCCATTCCATACCGTTTCGACTCCAAACTCCATTGTAACACCCCTGTGATGAAATATCGACACCATTTGATAAAGGCCTGCACGTCCCTGCTTACTTCGGCGTTATCTGACGCCATCTCCACAAGGGCCTTTGCGGCCTCCTCAAATCCCCTCATAGATTCCCGCAGAGCCGCTTCAATCCCGCTAGTTACTGTGTCCAGATTTTGCTTTTCTGGACTGCAGTTTTTGTACATCACTGGTACGAGGTTGAACAGCGATGCTTGTGCCTGATAGTCGTTAGCACTAATACATATGAAGTTTGTATGTTTGTTTGTTTGTAGGGCTTACTATTTCTTTTTGTACCGAGTATATGTCGTTGAGAATAAGACACATAACAACGGTTTCCTTCCAGAGCTCCTTCATAGGAGCACACTCCATGATAGACTCGGGAAGTCTTACTTTAAGCATGTGACTAAAAAGCAAATCGTGAGTAACTAGTGAATCTTTGTGATGCTGGTAAGTTTCTCGATGCTTACTCTGTAAGTGCAATTTGAGGAGCACAGCCGACAGACCCGGATCGAATATGGAGGTACTTTTCCACAGTAGGGATAGAGCCTCGCATTCGGTGTCCGTGTTCCACACCCACGCTGATCATGAAATTTTCCAACTCGCGGTAGAATCTCTCTCGTTGTATTCTGTCCGTTGAGTTGCGTAAACCCCGACCAACATCGGCAAATAAAGCCATGTTGGGATGTAAAGACTGCTCTTCCTGTGTGATTATCTCCTGGGATCCCTCGCTTTCGTCGAGGCCCAGAAGGCGGTGGACTGTGCTAAGGGATTTCTGGTAGTAGGCTCGAGCGAGCTCCTCATCGTTAGACACATCAGTGTCTCCGGCATCGACCTCGTCGTCCCACACGAAAATCCAGACTGAATAGGCGGTGGCTATTTCAAGCTCGGGCCATTCCGCGTCAGGATACCAACTGTGCGGGAAGACTAAATTAGTCGATTGTTTGACAGAAAAAAAAAATAGGCTAGGATATGCTAGCTTACAGGGACATGAGACGACCAAAGTCCGCCTTCTTCAAGGCTTTTAACTTCTTCTCATTGGTGATAATGCGTTCGAGCATCGAGTCCACGAGGCCCTCGAGCCTCTCTGCGTGTGGATTAGCAGCGAGTGGCCATTCTGAGAAGAGTTTCCATAGGTCAGGGAGGCGAAAGGTCTTTCCATCTAGCTGAGTAGCTAAGGTCAGAGCTTCATTGCGAAGGTCCGAGTGGACATTAGGCTTGATAGTTTGCGGGAGGGGACTTCGAGGAAATATAGATAATAATTTGTACTGCAACCGTTCCAGGAGGCGTAATAACTGTGTCTTTGTTGTTTGGGACTTCATCTTGTGTATATTATTCTTGTCCTTTAGAGGATTGTTAGAGGGTTGTTAGAGGAGAATAGCTGGTGTTTGTTGAATAGACATATTGCCCTCCTCACGGCTCTCCTCTTCTTATAAGTGAGAGCCGATGTTGGCGTTCCGCTGACTCGGGAATATAGTCTAAGACTCGGCTAAAGATGATAGCAGGTTGGTACAACGCCAACTCAAAGCTAGGGAGGAGTCGTTGCCAATATTGGCAAACATGAACGATGAGAACTACCTTTTAGTACAACCTAATGCAGTGTGATATCTAGAAACAGTATGATGGTGTGTCACTCTTGGAACAGATTGGTCGAACAAAGCCTAGTTAGTTATAGTTGGGCTATAGAAAAGCCGCATAGAGGGAGGCATCCACGGGAGGCTATCTACGTAATCGGCTTGTAGGTAAGGGTTATGTATGTTGGTCCACGGTACGTCAGGATGCCAATATCCGTACTCTCGCCGGCCGGTTTCATGAGCTACCGGATGGTCGTCATCAAGTCGTATTTGGAAGCTCATAAGAGGAACGTAATAGGGAATAGAAACGTTTAACACCATGTGGCGTTGTAGAGGGAGGTAGTAGGAAGCCCTAGATTGGGTCTAGAATATAGAACTAATAACTAGAACCAACTACAAGGAGATAACGGTTCCGGCGGCTCTACTCGCGTGATGTAACACACGGAAAGCGATATTGAAATATTTCCTCCCCAGTTTAGGATCGATTAAAACGTGGAAAACGACGGGAACATCCACTTTGATGGTTCATGTGCTATTCTACCAACAAGGTTCCGAATCCGCTAGATTATGCTTAGGACGGAAATGTGAAATATGGCCGGAAGACCAAGAGGAATAAAACCGTCTGATGTTGGAACGGCGGATTACACGGTAACATAGCTAATACGCCAACGACTAGTATATCTGATCTAGCACACATGATATATCATTAGACTTAGGGATCCATATAGTGGACATAATAATAACACAGGTAAATAAAAAAAAACACACATATATTTATGAAGTTGAAAGAAGCTTAAATCAGCGGTCAAAGCGAACATGTGTTAGTTACACACGGTTGACAATCTGTAATAAATTATCATAAAGTTATCTGATTGGTCGGCTACTATAAATGCGGAAGCTTGTCTGGAAGAACAATTTTAGAATCTCGTGATAATATGAGGAATAATATGAGGATCGCGGGTTTAACCCCAACCTCTGATCCTCAGATACCCGATTCGGCACTATGTTTGCTTCGGTGATCTTTGTAAGTCGACCAGCCTCTAGAACTTCCAAGCCGGACTACCTAAAACAGGAAAACAACCTGGACCATCCATGGCTAGAAGTTAAATAATAATCGGGGCCGTAACTCTAGCAGGGTAGCAGGGGCTTTGAGGGGGCTCCTCCAGTTCCCGTGATCCACCCCAAAATTTCACGTTGTATGTAGGCTCGTATGTATGTATGTACATAGGAGGTTTGCGTGGGGTGTTCTTTGATTCTCGAGAGTCAAGTAACTTTTTAGTCAGTCTGAAGGTGTAAAAGGTGTGGGAACAAGGTATGGACAGTATAGGATCGCACGGTATAATATAGTCGGTCGAGACGGGACTATCTTATACACTATACCATACTATATTATACTATACTATACTATACTATACTATGTACATTGGGTAGCTATACCCACATTTGTAGGGAGTTTTCGGCCTGTCAATTTATTTTCAACTAGCGGAACTAGTTCCATTATCTTGCGGTTGTTGGGTTTTTTCTTTCTTTTCTTTTCTTTTCATCGGCGCGGTTAGCGGAGTTAGACGTTAAGGTCTTAAACCCTAACTCTAACAGGTAGTTATCTAAATAGGAGGTGAGGTTTATATTAGGTATTATGTAAATATGATAAAGTTAGGTACATACATTAGGTACATACATATGTACGATGTACGTGAGACATGACAGTGAGACATGACAGTTTTTGCTGCAGAGCCGCGGCTTAAAGGCTTAAAAGTGGCGAATAATACTCGGTAACCTACCATTGAATGTTCCGATATCACGGAATGCAAGCTCGCTACACGAACCGATAGATGTACCCAGGTATTTACCCTAATACGAAATGCAGACCGAATTACAAATGTGACCTGTCAAGTAAAAGGTGAAAGGTGAAAAGGTAAGACCCTTGTTTTGTGACACAACTGACGAAATGTTGTATCCACTAAACATTATACGGTAGGCTACTTCGCTCTTATGAGGTACTAGGTATGTAGGTCTAAATAAGTTAGGTTAGGTAACTTCCTTAAGTTCGGTGCAAATAGTGCAATCACACTATAAACATACATAAACGTGGTTAAATATGCAACTAACTCATGCAACTGTCGCGCTATTTTCCCAGAGGTGTGGAAAGGGAAAAAAAGGACCTTAACCTAAAGAGAAAGTGCTTACATACCTCTTACCTGACTTAGGTAGGTTACCTAAGGTAGGTTAGGTATTATACATAACTTACATAATATTATGTATATGATGCAGATTGATTATGAAAACAAGTTCTTAAGTTCTTAAGTTCTTACTTGCAGGAATAATTGATTGACTTAAATCTTATAAACTACCTAAACTAGGAATAAAATCTTACAGGAATTATATCCCGGACTGGTGATCTTAACACTTCCCCCTCCTTGGGTACGGGCAACAAAGAGTAACATGCGACGGATGAAACATGACTTGCAGTATTTTTCCTTGAGTGGTGACAAATCCTTAAACGCAAAACGCAAAACCACGCAAAAAGCACATGGCTGCCAAGATAATTATGTCGAGAAGCAGGGCTTCTTACTTAGAACAAGGGTCTGGAGACAGGGAGGAAACACAGGGGTATGAGAACGTGTCAGTATCATTTTTGCAGCTCCGCCAGGCCCACGAATCCCAGCTTGTCTATCTGTCTATCTGTCTACCTGTCTACCTGTCTATGTACTTGTCTATGTACATTACCTGTCCATACTTGTCCATACCTGTCCGTGACCCCTTGCCTGCATGTCTATCCCCAAAGCACGCAGTCTATTAGTCCACGGCTCCAACGGCAGCCTTCCGGTAGCTATTGAATGGACTCGGCACGGGTCGTTGTCATATGCCCTAGACCCTATGTAGGTCAGCGCTCACGACTAAAAGCCCACCCCGTCTGACATCGCGCAAACTTCACTCACTTAGTTTGCTTTTCTTCTATCATTTACGTCAATCCTTTCTTGACGATGTTTAGGATGTTTAGAGGAGGGGGAGATACCGCCGATGAAAAATGAATAGGATTAAGGAAACTCTGGCTAGAATAGCTCGTGCCGCTCGTGGATCGCGCGACCCGGCTTCTTCTTCAAGCTTACGCCTAGATCGCGTAGGCCGGTCGAGTAGCTCGACACTCGACTCTCGGGAAAAGATCCTAATACGCCCAGATGGCCGAGGTCCTCTTATCCTCTTTGACGGCACCCAACACGGCGACGATGGCATCGATATTGTCTTCGTCCATGGACTCTACGGCCAACGCAGCGGGACCTGGACAAAAGCCGGCGTCTGCTTTCCTCGCGACTTTCTCGGGCAGGACATCCCCGGTGTTAGAATTATTGTATGGGGATGGGTCGGAGCCTTGAGTACCAGCGGTACATTTTCCGAACAAGCGGAAAACCTGCTGGCGGATATTGCTCGTATTCGTACTGGGACAAAACGTCCCATCATATTTGTAGGCCATGGCATAGGTGGTCTTGTTGTCAAAGAGGCCTTGGTCACGGCGGCAATGTCACGGATATATGGTGCGCACGTCGAGCTAGGCAACGTATACCCCAGGACTATTGGATGCGTCTTCTTAGGTACGCCTCATGTGAGAGGTGGAAAGCGTTCTCTAGGTGAATGCATTGCTACAACGGCTCTGTTATCACCGACTCCGCCGACGCCTCAGCTCCTGAAAGCTTTTAGGGAGAGCGACAAAGCCTTCGAGAACCTTCACAGCACATTTCTTATGATTTCGAGAGATATAAGAATTATATGTGCTCGAGAAAAGCTGCCAACGACCATAACGGCTTCGGCTGATGTGGTAAAGGATGCTGATGGAATGGAATTGGGAAGGGGGACGATCCAGATGATGGTCCCGAGAGACTGTGCGACCTACGAGGGCTTCAACGTATCAAAGCTCGACGTGATGGTAACCCATCAGGACCTCGCAAGGTGTAAGAGCAGAGACGACCCAGGATATGCACAGATTGTTCAGTATCTCGTCAAAGCAGCAACTGCCCTATCACCCGCCGAAATCGAGGCGAGGGAACCCCGAAATCAAGGTACAGAATACCCAATATTTCTACCTTATATACATAATTCCTTCATTACTAACTCTTAGGGTTTAGAAATCCTGAATGCTCTTTACTTCGACACTATGAATGAACGCGAGTCTCGAATTGACCCAGCCTATGGCGATACGTGTGACTGGATCCTGGACCCTCACCAATCTCCCCTCCCCAAATTTCTCAGATCTAATGATACCGTCCTAGTAAGTGCCTTAATTTTATTAATATATTCTTGCCATTCATCTAGGGCTATATAGTCCTCAGCTACGGCTACCTAATTTCGGGACTAAGATAACTAGCCAACTTATTTTTTATTTTTGTTTCTGTAAGACTTTTTTGCAGCATTGATTAACTGGTTGTGTAGTGGATTAGTGGCACTGCTGGATCTGGAAAGTCGACGTTGATGAGGCACCTATGGCGATCCGAACAGTTAAGAGAGCAACTCCTCGACGGCTGGGGGAGCAACGGTGATTTAAACATGGCTTGTTTCTTCATGTTCGAAGGTGGTGGTCCGATCCAGAAATCCTACGAAGGCTTCCAGCGTAGCATTTTATACCAAATCCTATCAGCAAGACGTGATCTCATTAGAGTCGCCTTTCCTAGCTTTTTCGATGGCCCTTGGCCACCTCCAGTACTATTCACCAGCAATCGCAATCTTAACCAAGCATTCTATTCTATTTTCGCCCAGATGTCCGACAGCCTACGCCTCTTCGTTTTCATGGACGGGCTTGACGAATATCGCATTATAGATCGGAAGGATCAATATGAACCAAAGGAACTTGACGTCACTTACAAGAATACAGGAGATGAGTTTTGGGGCCAAAGCAAATGGGCTATGGATTCTCACGTGGAGATCTCGAAACTCGTCAACAGCATGGGCAACAAAGACAATATGAAATTCATCATCACCTCACGTGAACTATCAGTGTTTGAGGAAGCTTTTGCTGACTTTCCAAGAATCAAACTCCAAGACCACACAGAACGGTCCATTACGCAATATGTGGCAGGCCGACTTGAAGATGAGGCTCCTGGGTTACCGGATACCAATAATCTCTGCAGGGAGATAGCCCAGAAGAGTCATGGCGATATTCTATGGGCGAGGCTAGCGATCGATATGGTGGTCGGTTGCAGTTTGCGCAGCTTAAGGGGCATGTTGAACTCTTTACCGTCGCACCTCGGAGGACCGGACGGCCTGTACATGCGTATGCTGCAAAACCTAAGCCACGAAGACCAACACAGCGCATCTAGGATTTTTCATATTGTCCTTAGAGCACAGCAGCCGCTGAGCTTAATTACACTTGCATTTGCTGAAGAAGGCTACCTGCACCCTGACACGGGCGAGCTGAGGATGGTTTACGATAACAAGCGTCCTTATGACAATGATGCTGTCGAAGGTCTGGCCGATGAAATGCAGAGGCGGCTACAAACATCATGCGTCGGCCTTCTAACTGCCGAGACGGGGATTTCCACCAACTCCAACACTGTAGAAACGGGAAAGCGAGTCGTCTTTTCTGATCAGACAGCTAAGGAATGGGTACGGCGCAAGGACATATGGCAGAAACTCCCTGGTGTCAAACCTGTCAATGATATAGAGCTGGACTTCTCACTACTTAGCGGATTTGCAAGGCACATCAAGGTTTTCGGAGTTACGCGATCTCCGGTATTGGCATGGCCAAGCTGGCGAGTCCGACCTGATGCGTGGCTATTGGTTTCGAACGTGATGCGGTATGCTGAGAGGATTGACAATAAGATTGATGATTTACAGAAATATTGCGAGCTGCTGGACGAGGTAGATAGTACATGCCAACGGGTCTGGGTCGCATCTCTGCAGAGTCACAAACCTCTCCACGAGGATCCCGATTGGTACGAGAGTCGGCTTCCAAGTCTTCTCAAGAAACACTGGTCCAGTTACGAACCAATGGATATTGGCAAGCCTCCTAAACGGAAAGACTTCCTGACTCTCGCCGTTCAGGCTAGCCTAGTCCGATACGTCGATACAAAACTAAATAAATTAAGTGGTGAAGCAAAAAGGAAGAAGGCCCAGGAGCTTCTGCCTTTTGTCGTCAGCCCCAAGGCTGATGGTATCAGCGCTTGTGCTGCTCTTAGTGGAGATTACTCGGAGTTCCACCACGACATGCCCGACTCCCGCTTACTAGATATTCTATTCGACGCAGGAGCATCCGCCCGCGATGACGAGAGGCTGTGGACGAAGGCATTGAAAGCAGGACGGAATTACTTCTCAAGGGGTAGCGTTACGATGACGCACTTGCTAGAGACGTCATCGAGCGCGAGGCTTATGGAGAATCGTGAGAGGTGGGTTGCCGCCATCAAGGCGTTACTACAGCACGGCGCGGATCCCAATACCGATATCCAAGTCACAACCGGAGAAGGGGAAAATCAATCCACGACAACAGTAGCAGCTGTGGACCTAATACGAGATACACTAGAGGGAGAGCCCGAGTATGCCGTCGAACTCGTCGAGATGGAAGTACTAATGGGTAGGAGAGGAAGTGTTGGCCTTGCGAGATGAGATTGACGATGATGTGTGACGAAGTGCTTCTAGCTCGGGAAACGAGGAGGGACGGGTGGGGGGCATAAGGGTTGGGATGGTGTGCAGAGAAAGGAAAAGTTTCGGAGGTAATTAGGATCAGACTCCAGATTGACTAAAGTGGTTCACGAGTCTACATAAACGTATCACGAATAACTAACGGTACCCGTTGGCTTATTCGGCGGAGGCTCAATTAACCAGCTGTACTGCTCGTCGCATATATAACAACATATATAACATTGAAGCAGAACGATAGATAGTATCACTCGAAATCGGCATGTCCCAAGACTGGATGGAGGATCATAAATAGAATGGCGTGTCGGAGAACCATAGAGTTGATATTGTGCATTCTTCTTTGTAGATAGTCAAATATTAATACTTTAGTTATATTCAGTACCTCAGCATCTATATTTTGGAAGAGTAATATTTGTTCCTAAGAGATTAAACTTTGGCATTTAATAAGTACCTCATAGGCTATTAGATTAACATATGTAATTTGAGAATTGCTTGAAGACCTCATAATTTTAAATAAGCAATCATCAGGGCTCTCTTTGATCCGCATATAACTCCCGCCAAAAAGGGGGGACAGCTAGCTCAGTACGCATTCCAGCCAAAAACCAAGCCACGGTTATTACCATAAACTGGCAAAAACGCAGTAGTCGGCCTAGACTGTGCGCTTCAAGATTTCGTCATATGATTGCTTAAGTGCTTTGGGTTGGAGGTAGGAAAAGTACGAGATCAAAACGACTTACCTTTTCCGAATACTAGGGCACGAAGAACTATGCACGTTTAAGGGCATTGACGCTGGTATTTATATACTAAATGACAGGCTGAACCCTCGTTTTCTTTTTTTTACCTTTTTTATTTTGACTGCAGCCCCGGATCTACTTGTTTTTTCTTGACGTTGCAGCAACTAGGCGTTTCTTGAGATGCTTCGGCATCTTTTCTTTCCGCTTCTCGGCCTTGGCCTCCTTAGCCGCTTGCTTGCGTTGCTGTAGTTTATTAGTGTGACATGTCTCTAACTTTAGAATAATATAATAAATCTGATATACGTGTTGGCGGAAGGGGGGAAATGCAATGAAAATGGGATATCGATTTAATGCATAGCATACCTTCTTCTCATCCTTATCTTCAAACCGTTTCCCCCGCGGTGTCCCTTTCTCGAATCTACTCTCGTCGTCTTCATCGTCGTCGTCTTCGTCACTATCGAGAGCTGCTCCTTCATCCGAATCGTCTTCTGAGTTCTGGTTTGCTTCTCTCGACTTCGTTACTACCTGGTCCGCGAGGAGATTTCTGTAGACGAGCTTGTCCCCTTCACCCTCCCCGATCTTTTGTGCGTCCTTCTCGATGTCGTAGACCTGTTCTAGTGTCTGGGGGATATATTGATTTCGGAAGACCTCATTGTCGACCTCCAGCTCGGCTGCTGCCGCCTCGTCGTCAGCGGGTTGCGACCTCGAAGCGTATAGTTCCTCTATCACTTCTGATAGTCTTGGCTCTTCCACCGTGCCCTTGGACTCCGTGATGAAGTCGAAGACAGTACGATCGGGTAGCGTGTCGACTCCTTGTCTGCGGAAGAAGTCGCCTGTATTCTTGATATCCATTCGAAGAAACTCTAGTGACCGAGGATGATCGTGCTCCACGCTTTGAGATACATCGATGATGTAGAGTTGTCCGTCATTGTAAAGAATATTATATTCACTCAGATCTGCGTGTACTAGCCGCGTAACCTGGTACATGCGTCGCATGATACTTAAGAGTTGAACGTAGAGTTTTCTCCAGAGTTGATCCTCATCATCGCGAGAGATGTTGGCGTCGCGCAATCGCGGGTACGCGTATCCTTTCTTATCTCCGAGGAAGCTCATCAAGAGGACGTGGAGCTTGAGCTGTAGAGGTTCAGGGCAAGGAATGGCGGCGGAGTGTATTCTCTGCAAGTTACGATATTCCTTTTCTGCCCATAGCTGGACCATCTTTCTACTGTTGCCCTTGTTTGAGCCGGATTTAAAGCGGTGCTCGCCAGTAATATATCTCTCGCGGTCTTTGAAGCTTAATATGGCTGTCTTATAGACCTTGACAGCGCGCTGGACGGGCGGTCCGTTGATATCAGGATAGGCGATAGCACCATATACGTTAGCCTCCTTGCCCGTACTAATTGCGCCATGTATCTCGTTGACTACGCCGCGATTGATCATCTGGTAAAGAATCATACGGGTTCTCTGATCAAGGACCTGTTCGCTCGTAGCCCTATCGGCCTTATCCTTCTCCCTGTCTTGTCCCTCCTTGACATCGTCTAGTCGTATCTTAGCAGCATGTCTTGAGAGAGCCGTGATCTGATCATCTACGCTAGCGGCGGTGTTAGCAGCAGGTTTCTGCTGATTAGAATGCAGGGGTTGTTGTCGGTTGAAGTTTCGCGTTATGTCTGGTTCCCCATCTGGGCCGAGGCCATCATCAAAATCATCGTAATCGTTGAAGACGGAGTCTAGATCGTCATCATCGTCAGAAGTTTCTGGGACGGCATCGGCATCGGCTAGACTTCTGGGGATTTCCCGGCTCGCTATTTCATCGTGAGAATTGGTGCTAGGTAAGTGAGGCGATTGCGATGGTGGTATCGTGGTGGAGTTTTCGCTCTCCATGATAGATAGTTGAATATATATTTGCGACGGCGCTATTGAAGACGACAAGTGTAATTTCTTTTGTTGGAAATACTATTGGAATATTGGCTTGGTATGTCCTAATATAGGTATGTATAAGAGTGTATAAGAGCTACTTGAGGAATTCTGTTTTCGGATTGTTTTCCACGGGTCTGGTCTGGTAAGGCCTCTACTTATAATAATAGTAAAGGCACTAGGTCAATGGAATTTATGAAGATTGATAAAAGGTTATAAAGTTCCAAGTTTGCAAAATAACATTTTGACTGTCGAATGGCGGTTTACAATTTTGGAGGTGACACAGACTCAGGCAGGGTCAACCCCACTAACTTTGAAAGTAACCCCACCAACTTTATCTTATCGAACTTATCGAACTTAGAGATTAAGAAGAGGCACTTTCTTTTTGACTTACTTTTAGGGCTATAGTGTTACTAAGCCTTCGCGTGTTACGTGTGACTTGCATAAGTCGTATGAGGTAATGCTAGGTACATAAGTTAGGTACCTACTTAACATATCATGATGTACCCCTGAGAGGTACGTACCTAATGTTCAAAAGGTACCTGAATGCATCTCAATCGCAAATTAGAATCAAAGGTCAAGCAATTGATAGACATCTCATTGTTACCCTGCTATAATCTATATTTCAATACTATTATTCCTTCGATTCTTATCAACCCCGCTCTCTAAGGTTACATGAATCTTCAAGTGATCGTCAAGCCCGACTTCCTTTTCATCAACTTGACAGCAAGATGATTCGTCCATTATCCAATATGGCCATGGCCAAGAAGCAGGCCTTCCTGCAAGCCATGCTGCAAGTAAAAGACATTCATAGATATAATGATAAGCCTGCCACCGTATGTAGTAGTTTGGGCAGAATCTGTATTCCCCCGTATGATGTCTCGCTGATCTCGATTTCTGTTCCTGTTCCTGCAGATATAATACCAATAGAAATTAGCTGACGTGATGGTGTTTCTTCATCCCTATTATCTGTGGCTCACCACATTATCTAATGGTTCGTCGATACTACGCTATGATTTGAGTCTTATCAAATTAAAAGCTAACAATTTTTAAGCTGTCCTTGCTACCTCAAGGGTGACGGGAATACCTACTGTCCCCTTTGCCATCTCTAATGACGGAGCATATCCAATTGCTTCCCTTAAAGGAGTGTTGGTAGACTCCAAGTATACCGAAAGTCGTGATGAAACCGGAGAGACGTTGATTCCACCAAGTCTACAAGATTTCGCCAAAACATTCGTAGACGACTTACACAGTGTCTTGGGTCTCGATATTGACGTCTCCGCTGGCGATGAATCTACATCAGATACCATATTTCTCACACTGGGTGATCCCAGCAAGTATACCGATGCCAGCGGCTCTCTGACTTCTGAAGGGTATACACTCTCAGTCAACTCTTCAGGAGTTGTCGTATCCGGTGCCAGTCCCTTGGGTGTATGGTGGGGTACACGAACTATCTTGCAGCAAGCAGTTCTCTCAAATGGCTCTTTATCCTATGGGGAAGCAGATGATGCTCCCGGGTGGAAGACTCGAGGTATGATGCTCGACGCAGCTCGTCATTATTATCCTCCCGAGGCATGTATAAGTTCAATCCGGTATGAATTTGAGTGATTAGGCTAACAGGAGGTGCTGGTTAGTTTATCATCGAATTGTGCTCTTACATGAGCTTTTTCAAGCAAAATACATTCCAGCTTCATCTGAGTGATAATCTATATAACAATGTCGACCTATACACTAGAGAGCAATCTTTGGAACTATACGCTCGGTTCCGTCTATGGTCTGATTCAGAATCTCTGGCCGGCTTGAATAAGTATAAGAATGAGTCTTACACGAAAGAACAGTTCGAAGAGATCCAGTCAACTTGTGCTTCACGAGGAGTCACCATCATCCCGGAGATCGAAGCCCCAGGACATGCACTAGTCATAATACAATGGAAGCCGGAATTAGCACTTGAAGGCAGATTGTCGTTATTAAACATCTCCCATCCGGACTCAATACCTACTATGAAAACCATCTGGAGCACTTTCCTCGACTGGTTCCATTCCAAGACCGTCCATATCGGCGCGGACGAGTATACCGGCGATCCTAACGACTATAATCGATTCGTTAATGAAATGGCAGATTATATCTACCAAGAATCCGGGAAATCTATCCGCATCTGGGGTACTTTCCCTCCCAAGCCCGAATACAACAACGTCTACAACAATATCTCGGTACAACACTGGGCCTTCTTCGAGGACAACCCGTACCACGATTACATCCTGAACAACTACTCCGTCCTCAACTCCGACGACACCTATTACACCGTCCTTAAATATTCCGGGAGCTATCCACAGGTCGTAAACGTCGCCCGGACATTCAACGGCAACCCAGAGACAGGTGGGATATGGCAGCCCTACGTCTTCGACACGAAAGTCGCCGCCAACAACCCGGAGAAGTCCAACCCTCTGGTCCTTGGGGCCGTTACGCCTTTATGGAATGACTACGGTGCGAACGCATCTGTCTTCTCCGAAGCCTATTATGCTTGGAAAGACGGGATCCCGGCACTCGCGGACAAGCAATGGGGAGGAGATCTCTCGGCGTCTGAATTCGCGGAAGCGTTTTCGACTTTGCATCCTGTTATCCCAGCACAGAACCTTGACCGAGCGATTCCATCAGCTACTTCGACGATATTCAACTACACCTCGCAGTCGGTCCTAAGTAACAAATACTTCACGCCCCTATCTACACTAGGCGACATAATCGTCACCGACCAGTCCGGAAACGGGTACGACGGACTAGTAAACTGTCCACTCACCGCGGATTCCACCTTCGCCATAAATTCCTCCTGCTTCCTGAAAACGCCCCTCTCCTCCAAAGGCCGGGACTACACTCTTTCCCTCCGCCTTCTCATCGACGAAGTAGATAAAGACGCCACTCTGATCTCCGGCCGGGACTCCGCGCTCATGCTTACCCCGAACCTAACTCTCTTCGCCTCGGGCAACTACTACCGGTTGAATACTACTGTCCCTCTAAAGACATGGATCGACCTGGATATCGTAGGGCGGGGCAACCAGACGTTTGCGCGCGTGAGCCCCGATGGCGCAGCGGCGGTTGTGAAGGAAGAAGAGTTCTTAGCTGTATTAGGCGTCAACGGGGTTTCCCTTGTGTGGACGCCTATCGCCATCGAGGCGCCGCTGAAGCGGGTTGGTGGCAAGGACGCTGGGTGGACGGGACAGCTGGCAACAATGAGCTTGACCTCGGAAGCTTGAGTAGTGGGTGTAGCTAGGTTAAATATATGGATAGATGATTGGTTTTTATGGAACTGCCCATTTAGTTGACTCTTACTCCCCTTATATGCACGCCAATGAGATAGATAAAACAATATATATTATCAGAATCGTGATATTATTCTCGTCCCAATAGTGTGCTGATACCTAATCATATAGCTATAGGAAAGCTAGAATAGGTTATCGTAGATATAATTTGATTTCTATTGCTTAATCTACGGAATTTGTTAATGTGAACAATCGGATGGCTCGGGCTAATTCGATACTTTACCATGGGGGAATTCATCAGGTAATGTCGAATTTATTTTTATTTTATCTAATCCTTGTTAGAAGACGACTAGCCAACTATGATTGTGCTATTTTATACTATATAAGACGACATCTTCATATTCGTTTGATCTCCCCTACTCGCCCCATTGAGCATATGGCGAATGTGTTACCATTGGAGTGGAGATTGTCTAATATCAAAATCCAAGTCACGAGGCGAGTGAGCTACCACTACCCTAGATCATACACAAGGACTGGTTGCGACAGTGTAGTACCTTTCTAATATCTATACACTTATCATTGGTCATCCAGCGCGCCCTCAAGAAGCTTCTGCAAGGTCGGCAAGAAAGCCTGCGCCTTTCTGAAGTCCCCTAGCTTAACTCGCATGTAGTCAAATGCCACTAGGATCACCTCATCTAATTCCGCCTTTTTGCTCTGTTCCGCATCGGCGCGAATCTCCAAGTTTTCCTCCATTATAGGCACCTTCTGATACCTTTGCGAGAAGTGCGTCAGTAGGATCCTCCTCGCGCCCATGCGGCGGCCGACATCGATAGCCTCAGACATAGTCGAGTGTTTCTTAGCGATAGCATCACCCTGAAGCTCGTCATCGAACGTGCTCTCATGGATGAGCAGGGTGGCTCCCTTTCCGATCTCGACGAAATCGTCGCTCGGCCTGCAATCGCCCGAATACGCGACCTTGAGCCCAGACGGGAAAGTAAATACCGTTGCCAGCGCACCGAAACAATGTTTCACGTGACAAGCCGTAATCCGTTCTAACCCGATGGCCCCTGTCTCCGCCTCCGAGAATACACGAGAATCCCCTTTGTTAAAGATAACAGTCAGAAGACGGTCGAAACCGTAGTTCTCGATGTCAGCGTATTCTCGCAGCCAGTCTATCATATGTGTGTGGGACGCGACGAAGAGCTTAGCAGAGGGGTTTGACCGAATCGTCTCGTTGTGCCATGCTTTAATAACGGAGGCAGTGCCTAAGTGGTGGTCTGCGTGGAGATGGCTAATCCATATACCTTTGAGATCTCGCAAGATTTCGGGGAGCTCGTTGCCAAAAACCCGCTGTAACTGGCCAATTGTATTCTCGCCGCAGTCGAACAGGTAGTTACCGTATCCCGGGACGCGAAGGAATGTAGAAGAGACGTTACGATACTTAGATGGCAGAGCAGAGCCAGTTCCTAGAGGAATTATTTCTGCATCTCGGTTTGGGATGTCTGATTCCACCTTTTCGATTTTGGCTAGAAATTCAGGATCTGAAACTCTCGTCTTGGCTTTTCGAGCCATTTCTAATATTTCATCATTCATATCCGCTCGGGCTAACTTTTCGATATCTGGGAATGGAATAATCTTGTCATCTTGATGCACGTACTGAGGTGCAAATTGCACAACCTTCCCAAGCTTGCTACTTTCGTAGAGAGAAGAGACATCCGTCGTCGAGGCGTTCGAAATTGAGACATTATTGTCATAAATGGGTAAGCGGAACCGGTCAGGGTCAATACATCGTAATTTGAAAGTTTGAGTTGTGACCGAATCAAACGCGAGCCTATTCGGACAGCTGTCTGGTGAGGACACGATGTGTCTGATTGCCGACTTCTTTTGCATAAACTCTTGTAGCCGGGGTTCATTCACGACCCCACGGCCAAGAATCCAGTAGATAACGTGAACACCTTCCATAAGGCTATCATTTGACCACTCCGTACGGTTCACGAGCGCATCGATATAAGAAGGGTCCGGTATGTCGAGAACAGCAAACCCATTCCCGGGAATATTCGGTTCCAAAACCATATCTGGAGTTACTACGACCCCATCATTGCCCACTACACTCTGACCACTCGTGAGCAGTTTATAGGATTGCTTAGGTACGCCGTACTTTGCAGCTACTTGAGGGTTAAACTTTCCTCGTCGTTCATGTGTTTTAAAAATATAACACAAGGATTGGTTCGAAGGTTTCGTATGCGGCAGTGCGTGTACCATTGCTCCGGGCCATGGTCGACGTATTAACACAGGTATATCTGGTACCGCCTCTCCACTTCCTGGTAAGGGACCTGTATATACTTGGATGTGACCTTTATCACCCCGGACGTATATTTTCGCGGGTTGCTTCACTTGGTGCAAAGTAGTCTCTACCAGCGCGTCCATCTTCCAGTCTGAATCAAACATTTGGGTGACTACAGTCTGAACTAGCTTTCTGTCTTCTTCACTGTCTAGGGTAGGTTGCTGCTCATCCACTTCAGATGTCTCCGTGAACTCCTCGTGCGTTCGTTTTCGGGGGCTAGTCGATACAATCGTTGTCGACTGGATAGGTATATACCACACCTTGACGTTGGTATCTTCCCAATCCGGTTTAAGCTCTTGTTGTTCGATTAAGCGAGGGTCGTCGCGAACCTCATGAGGGTCTAAAGGCAGTCCTTTCCGGAAAATAAACCTACGAGCCGTAGCGAGTAGGTGTGTCAAATTCTTGCCTCCATGAATCCTAAGCCTCGGCATGACAGTGTCGCTATTATCACGGAAATTACGAACTCCAAGCCCTTTCTTCTTACGCTCTTCGATATTTTGTTTGAGGCTATCTATCTTAGTAGCCAGGGTATCGGCAAGGACGAGGATAGTGCCTAGAAGGCCACCAGCATTTTGCCAGTTAACCACACCTGTTAAGAAAACATCTTCGACCTTTTGTATGCCGATGTTTCTCTGGACGGCAGCACGCTGCGTTCCCTCGGCAATATTTCCAATTATATAGCGCTTGTTGTCAAAGTGAAGCAACAAGCAAGCACCATGTGTGTCGGCAGTAGGGGTCGTAATGACCTGAACATAGTTCAACATACCGGACCCCCGTAGCGTCGTGCGCTGGTTAAATGGAACGGTCTTAAACAGTAGGAATTGCGCACAATACTTTTGATCTCTAGGAGACGCTCGTAGTAAGGAGACGTCAGGATTTCGGAAAAGTGTGGTTGGGAGAGGTGCCTTTGCGAATATAGACCTTGGGGGCGGGTCGCGATATTTTCGCGGGTTTATGATATGCGGATTTGAAGTTTCGCTGAAATAGAAAAGCCACCTCGGGGTCTTATTAATAATATTACGATGTCTCATCAGGTTTTATGCCGGATGAGCCTATCAAGAATGACTCTTACGGCCAATTCGAAACGCATATAGATTCGTATAAGTGAATTATCGATACCGATGCATCGTAACTTTTAGTAACTAAGAAATTATTTCTTATCTTATCGCTACCTACCTAAGGAGGTACCTACTATTCTGACGTAGTACCTAAATTACGTAACTATTGCTAGCGATTCTTTTAGATGGCAGTTAGTTATTACTTTTTTATTTTTTCTATTAATGAATTATGTAGGTTACTAAAACAACCTTAGAAAACAGAGATGGACTCTCATGGTGTCGGACTTGCAACCACAATTCCTGCCAAAGACGTAACCTTGATATTATTACCTCCCTTACACCAACACGTACCAGCAACTTGCCCGACTACCCCTTTCTCATTCCACTAATAATTCGTCAGTAAAAGGTATTTTCGAGTTTGGGGAGGGTTTCTCGATATCACGTACAACACAGCCAACATCGGCACGCTTCTGAGTCCAGTTCAGCGAGTCACATAGTGCAAGACACTCCTCGAGCGAGTTTACCACTAGTGACGCTTGGTCTGTTCCCGTCAAATCGCTGTCGCAGGCTATCTTGTATTGTCGGTTGTTTTTCCCTAATATCATACTGCCGCTTCGGCTGGGACACCTGGAATCCACTAGGACCGTCGGTGTCGGTTCGGCTATAATTGCCGTGCTAGTGCTGCTACTCTTTGGGCTGGTGCTCTTAGTTCTGCTGGTACTGGTAGTTGATACACTGCTCGTAGATGAGGTCGTCGAGGGGGCAGCATGCGGCGATGAAGTAGCGCTGTTGCTTATAGCTTCGCTATCCGCAGAAGCACCTAGACCAGTCATCAGAATCACCATCTCTGCTGTGTTCATCCACCATGGCTTGTCTAACCTGTGTTATTAACTGCACTATCATTACTCCTCAAACCTAAGCCTAGCCCCGTGCCCAATCCGGCCGCTAACGCCACCACCGAAAACAAAGCTACTAGCAACCAGAATGTAGGTTTCCTTAACCCGGCTATCTCAGATTTACGGGGTACCGGGCTGGTCTGCGGTTGCGCCTCGCTGTAGTTCTTATATTCGTAGTACTGCGGATGGTAGGTCTCGGGAGCTACCTCGGGCGCCAAAGAATCCGTCGCGAGCTGTGGTGTGGTGCTCGACACGACCTCCATCGTCGAGTGCATCTTGATTCTCAGAGGCAGATATACGAGAACTATGAAGACGGCTAATATCCAGAGCCATTCTCATTATATTTGCATTCATAGGCACCATTGATACTGCCTACCTACCTTACGATGCCCTGTGCCGGCCCCTGACAGTCGCTGTGATGCTACCTGCATTGCATCTGCATGCAACCCCCAAATTTAAGGGGTCGATATTGAGTTTATACATAGGTAGTAAATGTGAGAATGTATGTTATAGCGTCTCTAGTTTAGATCTTAAAGTAATCACTGTTGATCTGGCACTCAATAGTGTCTTACAACTTGAATTTAGTAATGAGCATAAATATAAAGATATAATTACCTATCTAGACTAAGTAACTATGATTATAAAATCGTATTAGCCATGATTACACGATATTGAGGTGTCTAGGATATACTATAGTACAAATTGCGTAGTAAGGATGTCTACATAGTTGTCAGCAAGTTTGACATATGAGGTGATGGTACCCTGCGCTGTGACCTATCCGGGATTTCTTCCTACGCAGCTAAGGACCTCAACCGTAACCAGTAAAGCCCAGCTATAATTGATCAATTCAGCCTTGTCCTACCTTAGAAGTGACTAATATGCTATTCTGAAAACGGTGAAGAAATGCGACTGGTGTGCATAAATAGTTCTATTATTAGCGATCCTTGCACCCTTCGGTAGTCTTGCACGTTTCCTTCAATCAAGGAATGCGTAGCATCTGAAGAGCGCGAGATTCGATAGACAGCGTTGATAGGTCCATTTAAACGACATTCAAGATGTTTTCCCGCGATATATGGGTGTGGCTTTGAAGAAGTATTCACAATTATATATCTATTATGAAGTACCCGTAGATATAAATGTTTATTACAAATTTTTACGGACCGTACTAGCTATGTGGTGTGGAGGAAGACTTACCTGCAGGTTTATAGAAGAAACTCTCCTTGCAGCTAATGTCATAAATGACACTCAAGGGCTCTTGCTTGTTTGCCGTCGAAGTGGCGTTAATTGACTTCTATTAAATGGCTATGAAGGACACATGAATTTATATTATCCACGTTTCTCAGCCCAATGACACTGTAACCGTGGTCGATTATACCACCTCGAGCTTATAGTGTCTCTAGAACCGATCATTTCGTCTAGTTATACATAATATTCCAGATACTTAATCTACTCTGTTAGCTTAGGTACCGGGCTATTAGATCACTCGCGCTTTGGCTGTGGCGATTCACGAGACGCGATAAGTGACATGAATGTTTCCTCGATGTCTGAATCATCATAATTATCATCATCGTCTTTCTCAGCCGACGCTTCGGCAACATTAAACTGCGTCCCATCAACTTCTAATGATAGCCCGTTACCCGGTAGAGGCTGTGACAATATAATCTCCTTTGATCGGCCAACATTTCTGATCCGATTTTGTTTAGATGGTCGATCACCTAGCTGCGGTTGTTGAATATCCTCCACAGCATACGAGGTCGCTGGGGTATCGGTAATAAACGGTTGAGGGGATTCAGACTTGTATTCGGCCTTGAACTTTGCGATTATTTGGAGCCAGTCCGACCCATACTCAGCTGCCTTGCTTGGCCCTACACCGTGAACATTTAGAAGTTCACGTTGGTTCGAGGGACGCTCCCTAGTGAGGGTTTCTAGGAGTGAGTTGGAAGCAACTATATACGGGGGTCGGTCCTCTATAGCAGCACGTACCGTCCGGTACTCTGCTAGACGCCTATATAACTCCTTGGATGGCCCCGATTCCTGCTGTTTCTGGTAATCGTCCCTTGGGTGAAGAGGAGCCTGATTCGTCTGAGCAATGCTTTTCCTGGGGTGCTTGGCAATGTCTTGTGCAATTATCTCTAGCCATTCGTCGCCATATGCTTCAACCTTCCGATCTCGGATGCCCTTCACCTTTAGGAGTTGGATCTTATTAGTCGGGCGGATTTTAGCTAGCTGCTCTAGGACTTTATTTGAGGCTATCACATAGGCGGGTACATCCTGTGCTGCAGCAATTCTTTTGCGATGAGAGACCAATTGTCCAAAGAGCTTATGCCACACTTCTGGTACAGATGAATCCATTATGTTGTCATTGTCATGTTTCACTTTGCTCCCGAAGGGTCGAGGAGTGAAGGCATCATTTGTGGTCATAATGAAGCTTGGATTGAATTTCCATAGGTTTTGGCAACTGACATATCGCCTAGGTAGTGAGCATGCGATTAAGTTAGTATTAGGACAAAGTCCCTTTTGATAAAAGCTGAAAAGCTGTTACATTTTGTATGTAGCATGATATTTAAATCTAGTAAGTTCGGAAAGTTGCTCCTGCCTGAAGGTGTAACCTTAGGTAGGTTAGTACCTGAGTATATGCATATATTAATGCGCACATGTATTTCAGTAAAAGCATATATATGTACATTATATACTACCTAGGTACCGCATTATGTAACTAGCGTACTTCCAGTCTGCTGTCCTTGGGACATGAATCGATAAATGATAAACACTAAAGCGCGGCTACAATTTAGCCTTGTCGCTTCATCTTGCGAAGTTACATCTATCTCGCGTCTCTCTCCCAATTGATCTATATCTAAACACAAGTCGTTACTTGTATTCTTCGGAGCTTGTTTTGGTGAAATATTCACCAACCATCTCCATTATGGCGTCCACGCCAATGGACCTCGACGTTCCCGATAACGCATCCCCTGCCAACGGTACACCATCCACCTCCCTCAATATCACCCGTACTCTAGGCGGTGGTCTACCTAGCACATCAGCTATCTCCGACAACCTGCACAGCTTCAGACCTACGAAGGTACCCTCCTTAAGTACGCCCCCAGTCTAACAACCTTTTCTTACGAATTACAGTTATTTAAGCGCGACGATATTAAAGATGGACGGCCTCAACCCTTCATCCTTAGCCTCGATTATGACGACCCTGGAGAGCTTCTGATGACATCCGAGAGCGACGAGACCATCCAGATCTACAAGGTCCGAGAGGGTCGCCATGACAAGCAGCTCCTTAGCAAGAAATACGGAGTCAAACACGCTAAATTCACGCATAACAGCTCCAGTATAATATACGCGAGCACAAAACAGAATGGTTAGGATACTATAGCTCTCGGTACCTGTCATTGATTGGAAACTTGCTGACAACAACACTTCATAGATGCGATCCGATACCTAACGACTCACGATAATGCATTTATACGCTATTTCGAAGGCCACCAAGCTGCCGTTACATGCTTGGCAATGCATCCCGGTAACGACGACTTCATCTCCTGCAGCAAGGACAACACTATACGGCTATGGAACGCCGGAACGAAGAATGAGACCGGCATTTTATATCTGAACACACCACATCTCGCAGCTTTCGATCCAAGTGGACAAGTCTTCGCCGTAGGATCGCCTAACAGTGGCGCGGTCTTGCTCTATGACCATCGAAAATTCGATAAGGCACCATTTGCAGAATTCGACATCGTGGAAGCATGCGGTTCAATTGAACCTCATAATGCTATGCAGGGCTGGACCACGCTAGAGTTTGCCAACGACGGACGCTCTATCTTACTAGGCACGAAGGGAGGAGGTCATTTCCTTTTAGATTCGTTTAATGGCAGCCTGAAAGGATACCTACGAAAAACCGAGGGCGGAAGTAATAGGCTGGCGCCTGGTGAAGAATACATGCTTAATGGAGGTGGCCCGAGTGGTGCCAGCGTGGAGAGTAGCGGCGACTGTTGCTTCACACATGATGGAAGATTTGTCATCGGTGGTGGGAGAAAGGGAGTTATGGTGTGGGATACACTAGGTAACGCGTCCGATAAAATCTTGGACCCAGTTCACGTTCTAGAAGACGAGAGGCCCGCGGCAGTAGTTGCCATCAACCCCCGATTCAACTTCTTCGCGACGGCAGATCAAGATCTAGTGTTCTGGTTACCGGATCCGCATGCCTAGGAGGCGGCTGGAGGCTCATCAGTCGACGTCGATGTCGATGCGTCCATCTATGATTGCGATCTTGTGAACTTGAACGAATATGATTACCGGCCACCAGCAGATGGACAGGATCCGTCATGAAGTAGTATAAGTAGTGAACGGAGGTGAGGATGCGGCTGGCTTAGGTACGGAAGATACCCCCGATTTTGCATTGCGAAAGGCGTCTAAAAGGGCATCGTCTCGGCAACTTCTTGTTGTAGATGCTTGTATGAAATATAGAAATTTGGCTTGTCTCACAATATAAGACGTAACATTTTGTGACGATTAGTACCTAAGGTATGTTAGGTATGCAATTATGAAGTATTGGTATAGTTTAAATGAGGCTCGAGCTACCCCGCGAGATTTCATAGAGCTCTAGATCCCTGTCTAGCTGTTTTGCTGTTTGACCCCCACATCCATCCACCGCCCACCGCCCACCACCAACACCAAACTTCATCGTCATTCGATTGGGTGAAAGTGCCAAAATTCAAGTCCAGCTCCACAATCCACCTCGACGACACGAAATCGTATATCTATAATCATCATACCGAGTATAAGCTGCGCCTGAAGATCTCGGAAGTGCCTTAACCTGCCAATTATCCTGCATACTATTATACGAACAACCGACAGCATTTATTCCGCAGCAAAGCGGTATTCACTCGCGATGCCATACTTCGCCACGAGCCAGGAATGGCTGCACCAGTCTTCGCTCCTCCTCGAAGCGCGACCAACAACCGTATGTCTGCCTGCCACACATTTAACTCCCAAATATACCATAACATTTGCATACGTATACCATCGCAGCAGCGCTTCCAACACCGCCCATTGTGTATAAAAAATAAATAAAAAATAATAAAACCTTAGCGCCAGAAGTCTTTCCAACTAACTAACTCTCATACACAGACACGCATAACAACCAAATACCACATCAGCAAACCCAAGCCCCGCCGCACCAAAAAAGCTCCAACCTCCTCCCCCTCCACAACAACCGACTCCGCTCCCACCGCGCCCCGCGGCTCCCTCACCCTCAAAGCCTACGACCCGCATTCCGGCGCCTGTCTCAAGTACCGCACGACCAAGGCAGCCGAAGTATCGCGTCTGATCCAGAGTCTAGGCCGGCCGTTAGGAGCGCGCATGGCCGCGCTGCCGCTCCCCGAGGCCGCGGACGAGGTCATGGCCGACGCGCCGCTTGCGGCGGGGACGCCGGCGGAAGAGAAGAAGGGGGAGGATGTGGTAGGACCGGCGCAGCCGGAAGGAAGTACAGGTGGTGGAAAGGCGCCGGGGCAGGGACAGGCGGGAGGTGGTGGTGGTGGTGGGAAGGGGAAGAAGAAGCGTGGAAAGAAATGAGGAGATAGATAGATGATGAATACGGAGGGAGGGAAGGAAAGGATCGGAAGGTCTACATATGTTGGGCTGTATCCAGTCAAAAGAGAGCCTAGAGGGACGTATAGTTCCTTGCACTACATTATAGCATTGCTATAAGGTTACTTATTTGGAATTATATTCAAAGCTTGATGATTACGAGACATGTTAGGGAAAGCCCGGCGCTTGGACACATGCCAGTGGACTTATAAGTATATACAAACATGGCCTTAAACCAACATTACCTACAATTCAAATATCACGCAACATCAAATCACATAATACCGATATAATGTATCTTCATTTGCATCAATTGAGCTATCACTACGTCCGCGTCTCATGCATCAAGTCATTTGCCCCATCCGTCCGTCCATCCATTCGGAGCTTATTGTTTATTTCATTCATTCCTCCGTGGGCCATCTCTCATTTGTAAAGAGGCCAGCAACGCCATAACGCCCAATGATGATGACCGTATTGTGACAGATAAAAAGGGAAAAATAGGGTTGAAGATCCAACAGACCACCCGGTCAATGGATCCAACCTTAATTGTACCGCCGAGACAATTGCTCACTGGTCTATAGTTTTGTATTATAAGACCCTCTAAGCTCTACCTGGTAGGAGTGGCGTTGAGGGTAGTAGCGTGAATGTGGTATTACACAAGGGCGGATCTAATCGAGAATGAGAGAAGGGGGTATCGAAAAAAGACGTAATAGAAAGAGGAGCGAGATCATCAAGCTGGTGAGAAGCTTAGAAGTCATCATCGAAGGTGAAATCACCTCCATTCTCGCCCTCTGCAGGGGTGGCCACGTCTTCATTCTTCTTAGTGCTGGCCATGACACCTGCCTTCTGATAGTCACCAACACGCTTCTCGAAGAAGTTAGTCTTGCCACCCAGAGAAATATTCTCCATGAAGTCGAACGGGTTGGAAGAGCGGTAGATCTTCTCATTGCCGAGAGCGACGAGTAGACGGTCGGCAACGAACTCGATGTATTGCTTCATCAAGTTAGAGTTCATGCCGAGTAAGGCACAAGGTAGAGCCTCTGTCAAGAATTCCTGCTCTATAGTGACGGCATCTCTAATGATCTTCTCGATGACATCCTTGCCGGGGCGGTTCTTGAGGTGTGTGAAGAGAAGACAGGCGAAATCGGTATGTAGACCCTCGTCACGCGAGATAAGCTCGTTAGAGAAGGTGAGACCAGGCATTAGGCCACGCTTCTTTAGCCAGAAGATGGAGGCAAAAGCACCGCTGAAGAAGATACCCTCAACAGCAGCGAAGGCAATCAGACGCTGAGCGAAGGTAGAGTTCTTGTCAGCGATCCATTGCAGAGCCCAATCAGCCTTCTTGCGAATGCAGGGGACTAGATAAAGGTTAGTCATATGGTAGTTTAGATGAGGATGAAAGCAGACTTACTAGTGTCAATGGCATTGAAGAGATGGGTCTTCTGGGCGGGCTCCTTGATATAGGTGTCAATGAGCAGAGAGTAAGTTTCGGAATGGATATTCTCCATCATGATCTGGAAACCATAGAAGCATCGTGCTTCAGGGATCTGAACCTCGCCGCTGAATCGCTCAACTAGGTTCTCATTGACAATGCCGTCTGACGCGGCAAAGAAGGCGAGGATGTGAGAAACAAAGAACTTCTCGTCATCGTTAAGTCTGTTGTTCCAGTCGTGAAGATCCTTGGACAGGTCGATCTCTTCGGCAGTCCAGAAGGACGCCTCATGCTTCTTGTACATCTGCCAGATCTGTGGGGTAAATTAGTATATGACGCGTCAAAAAGCACTTTACGCGTCTAAGACGCGTTACTCACCTCATGGTACTTAATGGGAAACAGGACGAACCGCTGAGGGTTCTCTTGTAGGATAGGCTCATCAGCCTCCTCAGGCCTGATAGTGGGTGCAACTGCGACCTTCACTTCTTGCTTCTTCTCAATTTGTTGGTGTGAATCAATCTCTTTGGCAAGGGCATCGATGTTGGAGTCGAAAGGGGCATTCTCCTTGCCGGAGGAGAAGTCTAGCTTCTTGATGGGAGAGTCCATATTCAATGACTCCATGGCAGAGGTAGCCTATATAGCATAATAAGTTAGCAACAATTCTTTCAAGTGGCATGAAAATAACTAAGGGAGCGACGGTATGTACCTTCTTGGAGGGAGTGATGGTAGAGGCCATTGTGAAGATGTGAGGTTGAAAGTAGGAATTGCAATTGAAGATTGAACAAGGGGAGTAGACAATTGACTTGCAATGATCACCAAGTAAGAATGATAATCACGCGTTAAGTGGAAGTAATCGTTATTGTTGGGATGCAAGGACAAGAAGCGTGTTTAGAATAGGTCGGATCCAAGATCTTTTAAAAGCTGTCTCGCGCCGAGTCACGTGTTAATATTAGCTGGGATCGACGCGATAAAAAAACGCGACTAAACCCCCCCGCCACTTTTTTTCACGCGTTGCCCAGGGGTTGCAGCTTCCACTACCAGACTACCTATGTACCTAACATACACTATGAAAAAGGTCCATACCAGGTTTTGGTGGATCGAATAAACCGTTATTTTACCGTTATTTCACCATTTTCATATTTAAACGTTTAAAAATCAAGACTTAAGTGAACGACGAATAAGATTTTATATCTATTGAAGTTATTTTCAACGTTTGAAAGTGATTGGAATGTTTACGTATATAGCTATTTATATTCCCAAACGTTTCACTTACTTTCAAGCGTTATAGCGTTTATAGAAAGAGCTACAAAATCCACGGGAAGGCCACGGGAAGGCCACGGGAGCTACGGGAGCCACGGGAAGGTATAAATTAGGTACGTGTATCATACAGATACGGGGGCAGGCAGGCAGGCAGGTAGGCAGGCAGGTAGGCAGTCAATAAATTACGATGGCTATAAATACAGATACTAGTTGAAAGATTGGTTATATATATGACTATTTAAGAGACTATCTAAGAGACTATCTAAGAGACTATCTAAGAGACTATCTAAGAGACTATCTAGGAGACTATCTAGGAGACTATGTAAAAGACTAGCTAGGAGACTGGTTACCTATGTATGATTAGCCAAAATATTAGATGGCCGAGGGACTGGCTGACTGACTGACTGGCTGACTGACTGACTGACTGACTGACTGACTGACTGACTGACTGACTGACTGGCTGGCTGGTTGGTCAAGAAGTTGAAAACTCAGAAGAAAAAAAAGATGAATGGGAAGGAAAGGAGGGCCCTTTATATAGACCTGTATACCTGTATTGCCTCAGATTTGCCTGTACAACCTTGATTTTAAATTAGACCTTGTTTTGTATGGCCTTGACAAGGGTATAAGGCCGTGATAAAGGTCTTTAGACCGACGGGAACGACGGGAGTACGTATAAATGCTTGAATATTTGAAGCTATATTGAATATTCGAAAGGCTAAATAGTTAAAAAGTTGAACGTTTAAAAAAATTTAAACGTTTAGATATTATTTGATATTAAAATAGTGGTAAACGCTAAGAATGGCTAACGTTTTTGATCTTGAATATTTAAATGAAATAAACAGTATAAATATGGGTCAAAAAAGTAAACGGTTATTGAACTGTTTATTCGATCCACCAAAACCTGGTATGGAAGTACCCACGCAACCCACGCCGTACCAAAATACCATATAGCATACAAGGTACAACGCAAGGTACTAACCTAGTGTAAAACAGTTGTAAGGACTGTTTTCACAATTGGCCTATTATCGACCTTACAGCTAACCCAGCTGTTCCCTTTTTTTCTCTCGGCACTGGCTTCATGTGTCACAAAGCAGGGATATCTACGGATCCGTACTTACCTATGTATAATACACCAACTAGGATTATCAGATCATAGTCATTAGATAAACAAGCAAACCCAATGGGGTATGGGTGAGATCCCTAGTTTCTAGCTGATTCAAGATCAGCTAATGATTACTCGACACTGCGAATCATCATCGACTTTGGACGGGTTGACTCCGGACCTAATATCGGCCTTGTCGGTTACTTGTCCTCGGATTACGAGCTACACCATATAAATATACGATAGGCTATGTTTTTCAACACAGTGTTCAGTCGTAATGGTACAGAGTAACAGAACTTGTCGTTTCAGATAGTGCAATCCAATCCATTGTCTCATAAAAATCTAATACCAGCCGCTATCTCATTAAATATGAACCCCCTCCATTATGACATAATGCCCGTTTGTATGGTATCTTCGTCTACCTTTTTTTGCCATTGCACCTAGACCTACTATGCTCATCCTACATTATGAATTACCGTTTCTCAATTTCGAAATAATCAAGAATAGGTAGTGAAGAGCATAAAAGTTAAATCGAATAATAATAATGAATGGTATCGTACGGAATAACCAAACTCGTAGTGGCGTGACGCGTATGTAGAAACCCCTCCAAAGTAATTAACGCGATCTGATCTTCTTCTTAATTGAACCCCATAATTCGTAATTTCTAGCGGGTCCTTAGTTCCGTCTACCAGTCTCGATATCAGCTGGACGAGATCTCTTGCTACCTAATCCAAAGAAACTTCTGCTCGAGCCTCCTCGTCGATCGTTATGAACCCTGGCTTGAGCGGGTTGTGACGGTTGGGCCCATTCGGTTGCGACACCAGTTTCCTGGGGAACATGGTCTGTTCGTAATTGACCTCCAGACCTTTCACCTTGACGTGTAACTCGAGACGACGCGCGCTCAGGTGACTCCGAATTAAATCGATCGAACTCGGCCGGATCGCTGGGGTCCACATCTGGCACCGGTAATTTACTAGCGCGAAGATTCTTCTTGCCTTTATTTCGTAGATAATCTTCTAATGCCACCGCGTTGCGCGTGTTGGCAAGAATGACGGCATCGGCAATGTCTCCGACAAACGGGACCAACCCGGCGATAAGATCTATAAGTACCAGCACATACATCCAGGCCCATATATGAACCGGAAGCCCTCCTTCAACCTGCTTGGCAGTACGGACAACCATCATCGCGAGAAGGGCATCGACGACATCTCCAGCACTATCAAGTATATTTATTAGCACGCGAATAAAGTATTCACAAATGAACCAAGTTACTTACAAAGGGAAGAGACCGATAACACTACCCCAACCAAACTTCAGCCCCATGAAGCTCCCAAAGCTCATATCTAGTCGGTATGCTCTTCTCTTCACCTTGGTCAAGATCATCGCATCGTGCTCTGAAAGGCCAGGCGGTAAGGCTTTGCGAACTTTCTTAATCTTCCCTGTTGGTGTGCCATCAAGTCTTGTCGCTGGAACTTGTTCGAAGTACGGGTCCTTTAATTTATATCATGTTAGTATCGTTTGCTATACGATTGACCTAATGCCGTGTTTATGCTATTAAGTCAATAGCAGTAACAAAGAGAAACCATGTCGCTTACTGCTGCTCCGAATTGGTTCCCTGCTGTCTCCTTCAGGATCTTTTTCGATACAAATTTTGCGATAACGCCCGCCATTTTATCCTTAGAATCGAAGTAGAATTGATTGTCTAATGGTAGAAGTATTGGTGGAGAGTTGTTAAATATGGTCGAAGTAGTAGGTTAAATAAGGAAGATACGGTTGTCGTGTCGTTCGATGAGTGTATGGTATACTTCTGCTGCTTATTGATTTTAAGTGACTTGTTAGTTGCGCATTCGCAGCCAAGACACTTTTCAAAATATTAAACTCTCCCTCAGAGCAGTGGGAACAAAGGGAAGATTGAAAGACTTTTATTTATTGAAACTTGTAATGACAACTAACAAGACAATGGCGGTCTATCTAGGTACATACGTAACCCTGAATGTGGTTGTGACGTTTTTCAAGTTTTCCCTTTCCCTCGGTGATTGGTGATCGATCATGCGAGAGGCAGCCCAGCCAAGTCATTACAAGTCAGAGAAATGATGATGTCAAACGGCAGATTAAATGCATTAACCCATTTAAGGTTAATCGATCTACCATGCTTTATGCGTAACATGTAGACCCCTGTCCTGCTAGCGGCAGTCAACTCAATGTGGCTTGTGGCGCAGCTATCAGCCACACAACCCTCCAATTCACATCCGTCCCGTGATCATCATCATCCTGTAAACAAACCACACAATATGTCTCGAGGCCTCCCTCTACGATGACATTCTCGCCACTAGAATCAGTCAGAATAAACGATAGGTGTAAAGATGTTTCCTTAGTCCCCAGAAATGAGTGTTATAAGAAACAATCCAAAAAGTCAGCTTTATTTTAAGAGGTAATGTGTTCTCCTCTTTAATATCTAGTCTATCATTAGCTATTATAGGAAGACTTTCCCTTTCCAACTATTTTATTTGACTCATAAATAACCTGCCCAATGGCCCCAGGGAAATATGGTCAGTTACTATAGACATATGATCCGCTTCAACCTCTGTAAAGATTTGGTTTGATATTCCACGCCCATCCCGTTTTATACAATGCTTGTTTTCCTCGACTTCCGTACTACCAGTCTAGATGTTATGAGGATAATTGTACCTCCAATAACAATTGTTGATCCCGCCCAAATCTGCCCCCATATGTATTTGCCTCCGCTAGCATCAATGATAGCGCCCATAGTAGGAGGTCCGGATAGAGTAGCAAAGCCGCAAAGGCCGAACGTCATCCCGATCCATGTCCCCATCTTTCCCACATCTTCAACAAAGCTGCTAGCTGCACTCGAAAATATTCCCTGAGCAGCTCCGTTCACAAACCCCATAACGACAGAATAAGCATACATGTCTGCCCGCTTATGGACACCTATCCAACCAAACGCCATGATCCCTAAGGCAAAGCAATTCAGGCCATAAGTTTCGACAGGGCCGACATAGCGGTCGGCGATCCAGCCAAACAAGGGACGCGCGGGCATGGCAACTGCATTATTAATGAGCACGAAATTGATGGACTCCAGGTCGCTTAGTCCAATACTCTCGCGAGCAAACGAGTTAATCTAATGGAATATGGTTAGCACCTAAACCACATGTTGTTACCAAAACAAAACGGTTAGGGACTCACGTATATTAACATGGTGAACAGAGAGAAATATACGAGGAATGCGCCCACGGTGAACAAGGTATATGGGATATTCTTGAAAGCACTTAAGTCGAGAATCGGTGCAGGGGCTCTCCGCAGTTTCCGCGGCTTCAAGAGGCTGAATCCAGCGATAGCCAAAGCAATGCTTATGAATCCGCATATCCTAACTGCCCAGGGAAAACCAACCTTTGGTGTCAAGAATTGGACAATGGCTGGGTATAGGATAGCGCCACTACTCGATCCGCATCCGTTAAGGGACACGGCAAGCGAGCGCTTCTTTTTGAAGTATGTAGCGACATTTGCAGTAGCAGGCATGAACATCAGCCCAGCACCGATACCTTGACAGAACCCCTGGGCAAGTAAAATCTGCCAGTACGTGTTCGCTAAACTGGTCATGAACATGCCGAATATGCACATTACAGCTCCAATAGCATACAAGTGCCGTGGGTATCCTGCGTCTGACAGTCGTCCAGATACCATCCCGACGAGGAAACATAAGAATATCTGTATCGAGCCAATCCAAGACACCTGCGAAGCCGGCAGATTCATTGTCTGTTTATAATAGAGCTGGAAGACTGAGAAACCCGTCCCGTAACCCCAGGACATCATATTGGCGATGTGGGCTGGTATGATTTGAGACCACGCAAGCCATCCTCCATCTGGTGGCTCGTCAAAAGGTATAGTATCCAAAGGAACGTCCGTTTTTGTGGCATTTTCTCTTACAAGTACTGTAGAGCTAGTCTTCGTTTCGGGTTGGGAGCTCGAGCTTCCCTCTGAGGAGGATGTTGTCGTCATGTTTATTGATGAGGTATGATCGAAAGCATTGATATTGTTATTGACAAGATTTAAGAATGTATGTTGTTATTAATAAGATTTTGGCTTCAGAACAGGGCAAATTATGGCTATAGATGTTCATAGCCAAAACCTTACGGCGCGTTCAGACAATATAAGCTCCCCAAGCGATATACGCCCCTAAACTCAAATTATCACAGTATTTCAGACGCTCCGACATCGCTATTTACACTATAATGTTTCTCATGCAGTCTACATTATGAAATATTATAACTCCACCATAAGGGCGTCCTCAGTATAGATTTGTGTATGCGTACGTCCGATAGTATAGGCGAACCAAGACTGCCGACGTCTTGCGGTCAACTATTTCGAGGACTAGAACGGGACCGGAGCATCGATGTCCCCCTTAGGCATTGATGGTCTGGCTCTATCCTATCAGAAGACAGGTATTTCTTGATAATCAAGGTCGCAATAGACTAATTGCATCACGTAGAATAGATATATCAGTTGTCAATGAAATCAAATCCGATAGCGCTACGTATTACTCATAACACAAGGTCTACGATATAAGAGTTATGAAGCCGTACTGTAGCTGCAGCATTGTCTCGGGCCGACGCAATGCTACAATCCCAGTCGATCGTCGAAAGTGTTGATTATTCGTCTGATTTCTCCATACTTTGGTTCTCTGAGATTGATTCTCGGTGGAGTTATTATACCTAAGTTATCTACTGTGACGTTATCGTCGATTCAACCGGTGTCGCTAGAGTCGCTAGAGCTTGATATTCTAATAGGAGCTTGAACTTTTAAATACTCCCCCCCAGCGGTTGCTTCTTTTGGGTCCTACTTACGGAGGCTATCTTGTAATAGGAATTCGATAGCAACATTATCGCATTTGTGATAGGCTGATCCCTCAGACCGCTTCTACCCTTTAAGAAAGATAAATTCAATGCCCCACTTTAGTCATCAAGCTTTAAAAAACCGGCCAAGCAGAAATAAGCTAGGAAAATGTAGAACTGCCGGCCAAGCTGTCGACCTACAAGTAAGCTAATAATAGCCCAAATTTTTAACAAGTCGCGTGGTCTAATGGTTATGATTTCTCGTTCACATTGATGTGTTCAAAGTCCCGAGAAGGTTCCGTGTTCGATCCACGGCGTGACTATATTTTTTGCGTGTGTTCACTACAGTGATGAATATACTTTTTGTCTTTATGTTCCCCCCATTCCATGTCTGATTATTTTATTTTTGTACACCGTGCTATGTGGATTTAAAAACTCATTAAGTATATTTTAACCCTTAATATTCGGACAGCTAATTCCGACATATGCAAAATAAATAGCACATAGGTAATCAATGAATTGGAATCAGATGTTTTTCAATACCCCCTTTCGGTTAACAGCAGCAAAAAAGGAGTGATGGATTAAAAGTGAGACTTGATGCAAGAGGCCGTTGTCAGCGGTAAGTAATAATTGTCCGACAATGCGATGGGCGTTCGTTCTTAATACAAGTATGTGGTAGATATGTGTTCTCGAGAAAGGGGTGGCGCAGTCAGTGTCTTCGAAAATGCCAACGCCCGCTGTCTGTATGCCAGCCGTCGAATACGAAATGGGCGCTGACAGAATGGCGTCTATATAATCTCCGTGTTGAGAGGCTTTATAGTGCATGCTACTTCGTATCCCAGTCACGCCATTCCGTTGGTATAGTTTCGGCTCGCGACAGGGGATGGGCGCGTACAGTATGCCTACCCTATGCCTACTCTATGGATGTATATCATATCTACCTACCTAATGCATGTGGTATGGTAATTTGAATGAGCAAGTAAGTTAGATATACGTCATAGTATTCGTCATAGTATTGGATTTTGATAGATAATTACTGAGTTCAGAAGTTACAAAACAGAAAGATATGACTGACCAGGAAAATAACGATAGGTCATAACTTCGTGGAATATCCGTTTCCGTAGCTTCGGTGCGCTCGGAGACGGAGTACCAACAGATATCTAGGGCATTACATTGTGGTTCCTATGTGGTAGGTGAAGTATGATGATGTAGGGCTGTTGCACTGGACGACCTGACATCTTGGCTGGCATACTGCGATCGTTCCACATATCTAGTAGTGCACTACATATTCGGCCTGTGATCTCGAACCCTGCAGTGTTCGAGCGACCTACCTAACTACCCAACCTACCTCTTATGTTGTAACTGACTTTCTTTGTCTGCCTGCCTGCCTGCCTACCTACCTACCTACCCACTCACAGGTATCTACATAAATCAGTGGCTTCGTTCGCATTCGCCTATGCCTGCCTCGGTAAATCCAAGACAATACGAGTGAATGGCTGGCGACGTAATGAGCTTACTCGTTGGTTTGGAAGGTTTCCCCCCTGCCTGCATGTAGCCGGCGACAGCTGGGCTTGGCAGCTAATAGACTATAGGTGTTTGGGCATTGATTATCGGGTTAATATCTGTTTTTGGTGGGTGAGAGAGGTAATATATATGGGCGCGTAGGGCAGATCAGATCGCCTGACTCTCATGCGAACTCGAGGGCACGTCATATGTGATTTGCCGATGTACGATGGCTTCGTGCGTAGTAAGAGGCTCATTTCGAAGACGGGGTATTCCAGTTTCTTTGATATTCTATACGTGTATCGTTGTACCTCTTCCAGCCTGGGGGTCATTTGTTGCCGTTTACGTCTTATCTGCTCCTCCCTATCACAAGAAGCCGGCGCTCGTTTACGAACTGTACATTCGTACTACAATTCGCAGTTATACTATGGGGAAAAGGGGGGGGCAGGAGGGGAGATTCGGTGGAACCTGTGCGAGAGCTGACGAGTCCGTCCTATGTAAAGCAATCTCTTGATCCTAATACGTTATTGGTGAGATAGAAGATCTTGTGGTGAAACATCGTGATCAATCTTGCTTGTCACAGCTACCAAGTTACCTCTATCACCTCTATCACCTCTATCACACAAATGAGTTCATGCTGTCCACAGACCACTATACTCTTGCCCCGTGATTACAACATCAAAATGGGTTATCAATGATAGGGTGGAAGGGTGGACTAGATCAGGTTATCCAATCCCTTCGGTCCCGACCTAAGAGGTCCGTATCACCGCCATCGCCTGTTAGGCTATCATATGCGATCTTGTAGGTTCTCACTCGTCTAGGTGTTGGGTCACGTGTTGATTCTGATGTTGTGCACTTGGTGTTCTTCCAACCACATTTCCCTATCTATATTAAGATGAGATACTATAATTCACTGTGGAGAATAAGTACTTTAGGTATACTTCGAGAAGCTAATTCTTTTTATTTGTTGTTGAGAGCTCACAGCATTAGGCATCGTTAGTTTTGTTCTAGTCTTCAGGTTTTAGTATAGTTAAATTATGTTTAGAGGATACATCTAGGTAGGTATAGATGAATTTAGGAGCTTGGTACATCGTGTATAGTATGATAATAAGAGAGCGCTACATTAGAAAGTGTCGGTAAGAAACTAGCGTACATGTATGATGCTTTTCTGAATAGTGGTGATACATTTTCAATATCACACTGGGAATGATATCCTTCAGCTGCTGACTTCATATAACACACGAGACTTTATGCAACGCTAGCTACAATTAATACCACGACGCCCGCTATGATAAAAAAGGCACGATAACCGCCGCTACTGCCGTGTGACCACATTAGATCCTTCGTAAACCATCAGTAAGCAAGCTTCCGTTTAGACAACAATATATCAGGCATCCAATAGAGACTCATCTCTCTCCCAATGCTCCCAAGTAGGCTTATCATAGCCATTCGGTCGTGTCGGCCTCACGTAGCCAATCTGAATTCCACTCACTGCTAGTGGCTCCTTCGGCCACGCTACAATGCCGCCGAACCCCTCGCTATACGTGCTCTGCATGAGATGGTTAGCAAAGAGCGTCGGATGTAGCGACTTGACACTGGCTAGGGCTCGTTGGCTAATCTCGTCAACAGAATCGTTGTGACGTAGCTCGAAGAAGTTAGGATCGTGCTCGCGGCGTAGCTGGTTCTGGACCTCAGTCGGGTACGTGCCGAGAGATAGAAGGAATATGTCGTACTGTGATAGACTAGTTCGACAAATCCAGCTACCACCTTGCGTAGCCCTACGATAGATACCTGAGAGCGCCGCAACAGTACCGACGCACCCCGTGCCATAGTCGGACATGGGGAAAGGTGGGATGACCGGCTCATCGAGGCCCATGAACCTACCTTGCTCCCATGCCACGCCCGTGACGCAGTCGGCGATTTGCTGCCAACCCGGACGGCCCGCCCATTCGGCACCAATTTCGATACCGCCAAAGCAGTCCTCTGCCACATAGACGATACCCCTGCCGCGTTGAGCCGCTTTCGCTGCAAGATCCTCGGGACGATAACCGAGCCTCGCGATAACGCCCGGTCGGTACCCATCGATGATCACATCGGCTGTCTCGAGGAGAGACTCGAAAATCTCGACATCATCTGCGTTTTTGAGATGTAACGATGTCGTGTGTTTCCCGATATTGACATCCAATTGGAAGAATGGGACGTCTGGTAACTGCGACGATGTAACCTTCAAGACAGATGCGCCATGCGCTGCTAGGGATCGACCAATAGTTGGTCCTGCAATTACCCGACACAGTTCGATAACACGAAGTCCCTGCAGACACTGACTTGGTCTGCAAATGGTTTGTTCCGTAAATGGGACAGGTGGCGTATCAATGCTCAAGGGCTTTACGGTAAATAATGGAAGAGATGCCATCGATTGGCCATGGCTGCTCTTCTGGAAATTTTCATTGGTGAGGACGGGGACGCCTGCCTGGCGATATTCTCGATTCAGCTTTTCTAATTCAGCTCCGGAAAACTTCCCGACTGCCCCCTCGATAGTGCTAATACAATCACGGTAATCTGTTAGACCGGGGGAAAAAGCAGGAAGACCAATCATCTTTAGAGATTTGGTGGCTTCCAATGATCCGTGGATGTGATAGTACTCGCCCTGGTTCCTTGTTTCGTATAGGCCTGCTGATAGGCGTCGATATAGAATTGACTGAGCTTGGTTTAGATCGGTGTCTTAACATTGTAGTTAGCTAGATAGCTTCTAAATTTTACCTAACGGGGATCAGGTGAGACGAACTCGGAATTCGTTCCTTAACTTTGGGGTTGCACTTATCCAAGCCGTCGATATTGGTGAGATATGTAGACATTAGAAAGGACGTCACACGTTCTAAGGTGACACTAATCGATCTTTCACGCTTTTGCCCCCGGATATCTGCAATCGCGGCAGCAGCGCATCCTTCCAGTGCTTTAAGTGCTGCTACTGTTTCTTGCTCACGCAAGGGGCACGGAAAACACGCCGTATCCCCGGTACGAGAATATCTCAAGAACTTGACATCCTCAGCGTATTGTAGGAACCCTCTCGGAAGCTCTGTCTTGGTGGATTTCAAGAGATAGTTGAAGGCATCCTTTGCGCCTTCACTTACCGAATAGATTCCGGGCCTCTCCCGGGTAGCGGATAGCGCCGTTTTTGGTTGTCCGACGGTCATGATAGTAGCAGCCGGGTAAGATATGAGACAAGAATGTGCCTGTACTGAGGATGGAGAGGAAAACTCCCAAGAGAGCACGCCACATTGTTATTTAAGTAGGAAATTCTAGCGTATACAAATCACAATAGCAATACTTATATTACAACATATTGTGATTCATCAGATCTGGGACCACTTACCAAAACATGCCACCGGTAAGATCGTGACTCGGATTTATATAAGCAAGGGAACCTTTCAGCCTGGGGATAGGATAGTTGACGAAATCCGACCCATCAGGTCCACGTCAACGACTCATCTGGCCAGAGTGTACATGTCGACGCTGACATGTAGAAGAAATCTAGAAACGTGTCACGGACACGATGACACGGTGACATATCCAATGTCCCTAAATCAGACATGCGCCGGACTGTCTAATAACGGACTGGGGGTACCCAAGTCTATCGACAGGTTAACTCGGGCAGTACACCCGACGATGCGGGAGTTGTGAATGTAAAACTGTAGAATCCAACCCATTGTAATGAGTACCTCGAATCAATGCTAGGGTCTGGATGAACCTAGCGGACTGTCAGTTTCTAGATCGAAAAGAGGACAGAAGATCCTGAGTGAGAATATCTAACATCTCTGCAAAAGCAAATTAAGCGCCCAGCAAAGGAAACCCCGACTTGCCTTTGAAATGCCGAAAGTGAAAAATCAATACTGCCGGCATTTAAAATTGGAGTTGGTAGATTAAAAAGATCCATTTGAGTGCAAGTCGATTCGTGTCGACGGTGACGGTAGTATGGGCTACGAGGTATGTGAGGTTGTAGGAGTCTTAGTTAAAAGGGGTTACATGCAGATTGTGAGTACTAAATTGAACTCCCTTGGAGACGATTTAAGGCCATATAAAGCCATATGCAGTGACGGTAAAATACATCAGGAAAGTTATTGACGAATCAACCGTAGGGCATTTAACGCGAGAGTCAAGTGCATCATCCGAAAATGCGAGTCACATAACCTAGACCATCTTTAGATTCTGATATCTAACGGTCTTTGGTGGCACGTTGAATTTAAAACAACGATGCTGACGACTTGTCTTAGATGATTCTGTAGGATTTGAACAACGATGCGTAATTGATGAAGAAATGATTGAATAGGTCTTAGGAAGTAACTATTTTAGTAACTATTTTAGTAAATGTTTTAGTAGATGTTTTAGTAGTCGAACATTAATGGTTGAGCCGCAAAAATGGAGCAAAGCTTACATGTAGGTTAGGTAGGTACCTTACAGGTAGACCCTTGGCTATAATAATGTACATCTGATTGGATGGGGTACAAGAAAGTACTTGATTTTCTAGGGGTATCACGCATATAGCTACCCCTGCTCTTAATGTATCCCTTAGTATGTTGGCATGAACCATGGTCTTTCTACCCCGGACGTTTTATTTATTTAGGTGCATTACCCGACAACCTTAACTGCTAAGTAGCGACTTCTAGCCTTAATCCTTTAATCTTCACCTAACGATAGGTACGCATGGGTTTGTATTTGCGGAGTACGGAGTATTATGTACCTTCTCCCACGTGGAAACCTAAACTGCTTCTTAACCCGCTTCTCGACTTTTTCCACTATTTCGCTAGTTCCATATTCAAAATTTGGACAACATATGAACTTCTACCTCCATATCCCTCCATATCCCTTGTCTCCTTATCAGATCTTACATCTAGTAACATTGTGTCATACAGTCTATGTGACTTAATGTGACTTAAAAATCAACATGGGAAACCAGATCCAATAATTGATGGCGCTACCGAGTCATCTTACACCTGTCACTGCTATGGTTACGGAGTTGACTGGTCATTTTTAATATCTTGTCTAATCTTCAGATATCATGACAAAAATAAAAGGGGTAAAACCTGGTTCTAGCCTTGGTGATCTTTGCAAGGATCTCATCTAAGATTTCAGTTTCTTACAAGAAACAAAAGTCCGCACTCCTAATATCATTCAAGTTCCTACTACGTCAAGAAAGTCCACGTCGAAAAAAAAGGAAAGAAATAAGCCGCTATCTCCCGTATTTAAGGCGGCGTTAGAACGCCACTTAACTGCTAACGGAGTCTCACTTGATTGATCTACAGTCCAGCTGCCCAATCACGGTGCTATTCCTTCCCAGCCCTGTCACGATTTTCCCATTACAATCATGGTTAGAACAAGTCAAAGGCGGCCGACGCCGCCCTTATTGTCCGGCTCAGGAGGAAGAAGCCAAGCCGGCCAGTTGGAGTGCATGGCTTAACGTTGGCTCCTCTCGAGGAAAAACTTAGCAAGTCGGCCCTTGCGTTCTCTTCATTAAACCTTTCGTGATAGCTCTTTTCATGTCAATCTCCCGCTTCCGACACGTTCCGTCGGTCTCCAAGGTCCTTTGCCTTACTTGCGTCTATTCACAGTTATCTTCTGTTGTGGCAGATCACTATAGCTCTCCAGTGAGCTGCTAGGTACGATCTGTATACGTATATTCAGCTGTGCTCTTCTCCACTTGGCCTACCATTCACACGGCTCGAGCAACCTTGGCGGATGCCCTTAGTTGTCTACAACCTATGCGGGTCGACCTCCATACTCTGCCGGATAATCGAGTATTCAATTGCTCATATCATCCCACGATTCTGGACTTGAGTCCCGTTTGCTTCCCGATAAGGCTGAATTTAGGAATTTGTCCGTACCCGAGACCAACGTTCTTGTGTCCGTAAGACCGGCGCCGCCCCCCCGAAGTCATTATTCGCTTTTATTCTCTCCATCGTCCGACTTGTATTTTGTCACCTTGTGGCAAAGCGTCGGATGGCGGATGTCACCTAGATCCCTTGTGGCTCAAACCATCATGACACGACCTAAGGTTGACCCTGACAAGAGGCAGCGTACTGCCCAAGCATGCGACTCTTGTAAGCGCAGAAAACAAAAGGTCAGTTATTTCAATTAATTTCCCGATCTCATCTTCACTGTTGCATCTCTCTCCTCATCCATCTCTCTTTATACCACACCTACACGTGGGATCATTAGGCTTCCAACGGCGAGCACACGGACCAGTAAGATGATGTATTATATCGGCAAAAGTTGTCTTGTAGTTTCTTCTACTTGAATAGCGTACAGCATGAGCGACGACGACGTGTACTATGTCACTGTTTTCGGATGGCTTCCTAGGTCTCACAATGGCTAGTGTAATTGTGTAGCCGTGTGTGGATGGGATACCTTGAGACTATCGTACGATTCTGATGGGAATTAAGGCTTGTGGTCGTTATGTTTGCTAATGTGGACATTGTTGTAGTGCAACGGATTAAAACCGTGCAGTACATGTGATAAACGGAGCCTAGAGTGCCTGTACACGCCGACAAGTCAGGAAACCGGTTCGCAAGAGCCCCTTGGATCACCGTCTAAACGTCGACATATTGACCAGTCACCGAGGACGTTGAAGTTAGAATCTGGTCAGACAATCGCGACGCATACACCGTTTTTAGCGTCGTGGGATCAGTCTACTAACAGGTCGATGAGCCTAGCAGAAATAGAACCGCTTGAGTCGAGCGAAAAGAAACTCATGGGGACGACACATCATTTGCTCGCTAACAACGACCGCGAGTTCGATACTCGTTCGCGGATCAGCAATGTCAGTGGAGCTGCAGACGAAATAAGTTCCATACTCATACCAAGGATGCTCCAGGACAAGACAAAAAAGCTACGTAAGTGAGGCTATATAAACGAGCCATTTCTGCCTACGAACGTACTAATATGCTGTATAGAATACGTCGGGGAGTCGGGGAGCCTTGCATACGTGCAGTTGATTCGCATGATCGTTTCAAACGGTTCCGGGTCGTCTGGCTTCACTGAGGATCCGCTAAGGCACAACATAATGGAGAATATCATCCATCTTCCGCCAGGCACGAGGCTAACTGGGGTTCTCCCGGATAGAAAGACAGCTGACATATTAGTCGAGTCGTTTTTTATAAATGTATGTATACCAACCCTGTGGCTGCTCGGTTTAACTTAGCACATTGCAGACATCGGGGCTTGTGGAAGTTTTCCACAAAGCGGACTTCCTCCAGCTAGTAGAAGAATGCTACAGCAATCCTCTAAGTGCTAGCTCGCCAGATTTATGCATATTGAACCTGGTTTTCGCCGTCGGCCTGGTTATTGCTCGTCCATTACAGGGGACTGACGAGGCAGCTGTGATTCAAAGCTTGCATTCTGAACCTATTAATCGTGCTGAATTGTTCTTTCGAAATGGCAAGAAAAATGGCCCGGATTCGGGATTTGAGGATGCAGACTTCTGGTCAATCCAGGCCCTCATTCTCATGTCTCTCTATAAGCTATCAATATCTGGAAGGAATGCGTCACACGCCTATCACGGTGAGCAACCTTTCCCTTTTCTTGTTTTTCGGCATGTGTCCGAATACGTTATTATTACCCCTATTTTGTGATTCGAGTCTGATTGTGGTAAGTAGGAATGGCAGTGCGGTCTGCGCAGGCGTTGGGATTGCATAGAGAAGAAGAAAGCATGGCAGTCGTCTTCACTCCCCATACCATTCACCTTCGGAGAAAAGTGTGGAAGACTCTATTCGTCCTCGATCGTATTCTTGCAGCGAGTCTCGGACGTCCTATGATTATATCAATAGAGGACTGCCCCGAATATATGCTTTACCATTCGATAGGCGCTACAACCGACAAGCGCATGATAGACGAGGTAACAGACTCAGCGGCGCTGGATGTTGTCGTAAGAAGTTGCCATTTAGTCGGGTTGACGCTTAAGAAAGTTTACGCTGAGAGAAAGGTATCGACTCTTGTTGCACAGGAAATCGCAGATCGCCTCGAAAGTTGGGAGCGAGAACTACATCAGGATTTTCATTGCCAGCGGCTCTTGGATGGTTCAGTTGACTCAGCGCAAGTCATTGCCTCCCTTCACATCAACCTCCTACACTGCCACTCAGTGCTGCTCCTCACAAGACCTTTTTTTCTATATCTTCTCAAGATGTGTGATGACATGTCTAGG